CATTTTACACCGTTCTGTAGCCCTAAGAGTGACTGAACAAAAGATGATTGCAAACAGCCTGAGTGAAGTGAGCTATTTGCCCGTGAGATTACAGGTTGCACCATGTGAATGATGGGAACTGTGTCTGCCACAGAGGATACAGGAGAACGTGGGTGGTAGAGCAGGACTCCCTCTAAGAAACCCTCTGCCAAAACCTGTTCATAGCTCTTCTGTGTATGTGCAATATCCCACCATCTTACTAGAGTGATAATGCTTCAGAGGAAGCCATTGGGGCCCCATTTTCAGCAGGGCTGCTTTTCTCATGCCCTGATCATGGTATGCTGGTCAACAGGTAGCAAGGGGTGAGAGCTCTGTGTCTTTTATGCCATTGAACTTTTGTACCTTTGAGGTCCTCCTGAAAGTCTGCCCCTCTCAGGGTTCCCACTGGAGCCCAGCACACCTGCAGCATTCATAAAGCACTTCCCCAGAGCTCCTTCCACCCCTTCAGCTTTTCATATTGAAACTCTGGGATGTACTATCATGTCTCCAGTTTCTTCCTCCTCGAGTCCTGAGGTCTGTTTTGCACTTCCTTCAACCCACTATTGCTTTTATCCCCTTTCCTCCGTGTAGTTTGGTGTGTCACCCAGATATCATGGCCTGATCCCAGCTGCCCTGATGCTTCTAGTATTCATGCTTGTTTCAAATATGATCAAACCTCCATAATTCAGACTTGAAGTTTCTGGAGGTACCATTGCAGTGTGAAGGAGACAGGTGAGACAAAGGGGAAAGACTAAGAAAACAGATGGTATGAAAAGCAAGGGAGGGAAGAGGAGGGAAGGGGAGAAAGAAAAAAAAAAATATAATACCTGAATAAAACTGGAAAAGGGAATTATAGGTATGTTGTACTGAGATGGACAAATGAAGGAAATGGATATTTTGGGAAGCCAAGAAGTCAGTGGGAAAGAAAAGATGGCAGAGAATGGAAAGAAGAAAAGAAAGAGGAAATCAGGAACAGAAAGGTGGTAGACGTATACATTTAAAATAGAACTAAAGGTATATCCCCTCTCTAGTTTCTTCAAAGCAGTCTTGATAGGCTGTTCCATTAAAAAGAATAGCAAGTAAAAAAACCTTATCCAGAAAACACGATGGCATTAAATTCTACTGCTGAGATTCTGACTGCTCTGGGCTTACAGGTGCCTGATGGGCATACTGTGATTGCTTTCTAGTACCCTGGTCTCTGCTTTTCTGCGCCCTTAAACACCAGGAAAAGATGGTCCTGCAGCCCCTAGCAGTACGACTTTTCCGGCCAGCTGCTGCTTATTGCACCCTTCTCTCTCTCAGATAACAATCTGTAAACTAGTTGTAAATATATGAAATATTTGCTCCCTATTTCCTTTCTTTTGCTGAGGTAATGAAGCATCCCTAGAGCCTGATAACTATCAGGTAAGGAGCTGCAAGTTTCTACATATATTAATACACACTTTTAAATCTTGAGCAACTGATAGTTGTTTCTTGAATTTTGCAATTTCTGTTACTCAGCTGGCTGACATCCAAAATTATTCCAACCAGTCTTGAAAGTAAGCCATGCTCCAAATATCTCCCTGAGCTGCAGTTGTTTTGGTATCTACTTTGTAAACATGTTGTAGTTTATTGTTGAGATTTAACAGATTATATGATATCCTAGAATTTGTTACAGATTTAATGTTTTGGTCCCGTGTACAGAAGAGTATTCAGAAAATCCTTTGTAGACCTTTAACAAATACCTTTTCTGGTCACTCTCAAGCTCTTGTCCATGTTTGCTGCTGGTGCAGGAGCTGATGGCCTGTAAGACGCAGCTGGTTTGGGACATGGGAGGAAATACCTTACTGGTCATATTGTACTCATACTGGTTTCCAGCTCAGGAGGAGATGCTAAACTTGCATGTAGTCTGCAGAAATGTGGAGAGTGAGCAGTGATTCAAAAAACCCTGTGAACTGCTCTTCTAGTTTACTATACTCCCGGGAAACCTTCTCCAAGTACAGAAAATGTCCCACAGTGAGACTACTCCAGGCACAGAGGACTTTCTCAGTCCAATGAGGACTATACATTTACAATATGAGTAAAATCTGAGAGAGATAATAAAATGGAGCATAAATCTCCACTTCAATTAGGCTGCTCTAAGACCGGTATGGTAAGTACTGGGCTTTATCCGGTGCATCAGTAACTGTAACATGAAAGAAACATAGGCAAGCATTTAACTGTGAGCGCAGTGATGTAAAAAGTCATTAAGGATGCCAGTCTCTGTACTGGGAAACTAATACCTGTCAGTATCAAAACTGTGTCCTAGTTATATCCTAGATGCATACAAATGCTGATGCATATATATAATGGATATGAAGTGGCATACTTTTCTCAGTATGATCATCATGTCCTAACAGGAATATATTCTAGTACTTTTAAACTCTTTGGTTAAAGACTTGCTTAAAAACTAATTTCACAGAAGATTCCTTCATACCTGTAACAAGGGTAAGACAACAGACAGCACTAGTGCCCCTGCCTCCTGTGAGTTTCCTCTCCTGCTCCACATGTCTACTGCACAAATGATGGTCTAAGACACCACTCCTCTTGTGGGAAAAGGATATAGCTGGGACAGAATGCCCATTTAACTCTGCTTTCCAATGCTATTTTCTATATAGAAGTACCTATACGTCTGAGAGCAGTGAGGCGGTTGCAGCCAGTCTTGGTTGTGTTTCCAGCTTGCCAGAATAACCCCAGACTTGTTTTGCCTGGCCTGTTAGAAAGGCTAGGCAAGCATATACTGTTGCAAGGAATTTAGGGGGACACTAGCCATCAGCAGTTTTAGTCCAGTTCAAGACTGCGATAAAAGAAATCACAAAGCTATATTTGAACATGTTGAAAAAAATTCAAGTTTGTCAAGGAGCTACATTTCTCCACAGCCTGTCTCTACAGTCAGATGTAATACAGGTACCTTTGACAAGTGATTGACGTTTCTACAAACTGGGTTTTAGTGTGAATAAGAAATCTAACTGTTAGAGGGAGTACAAGGTCTAGCAAGCACTGAAGGATGAAAGCAGTGTGTTGTTTGCAGCCAGGGCAACTACAGTTAGATCTTTGAAGCAGATAGGTTGTTTTGCTTCATCTATGCTTGAATTACTGAAATATAAAATGTAGAGAAATAATATAATTCCATTTGGAGCCTCTGCTTTTTGTTCCACAAATTGAGACCATCTGGCTCTGTACATTCAGATTTTATATTATATAACGTTAGTTCCGTTGTTAATGAGAGCCTCGGAATTTTCTTTCTTTGTGGCATTCACTGCGGAGTCACCCATGTGGGAGCAGAATACCTCGTTTTAGCTGAAGGCCATACAGATCATTCCAGATGGCCGAGTGTGTGTATAATGGGGAATTAATTCCACAGATGTGGAAGCCTGTACACAGAATCTGTCTGTTCTTCTCCATGGATTTCCCCGAGGACAGCAAATCTCAATTTTCTCAAGATTTGTCACCTTTAGAGGGGTTTCTAGGTGTATATAATCACTTATGCTAATGGTCCTCTGAACTAATCAGCCTTGGGAAAGCTGGCCTGCTCTAATAAGTATACTGGTGTGTTAAGTGTCCCATGGCAGGTCTTTCAAGGTCAGGCAGGTCTTCTTTTCTGGTGAGGCTAAAAAAAAAAGATAAATGCTTGTTCTCTAAATTAAGCTGCAAGAGGAGTTCTCCAGGATGCAGCTCAGAGTGTCCATGACCTGAGGCAGAAAGATGCTCTTGTATTTCAAGTGTGGCCAGAGCCACTTTTCATGCTGGAAATGCAGATGCTATGACACAGCCTACTGTTACTTGAGCTGCTACTTTGTTATTCATTTGTTTTTCCGTATTTGAAGATCGTAATTCCCACTGGATATGCCTGGAGGAATTCATGTGCTCTGTTGTTCATGCTCTTTGGTTGAAAAAAATCTCTGTAAAATAAAAGTAGTAAAACTAAATCACTCGATACTATATTCCACTCACCTTAACAAAAGTTTCCTGTAGTTGCCATGTAAAGTTCAATTGCCTTTCTCTGGAAAATGTATGAAAGCATAACTCTTACCTGTTTTGCACAGCTATTATTTATTTCCTCACTTTTTCTTTTTTTTTTTTTTTTTTTTTTTGGAATTTAAGGTACTGCCAGGTGCAGTAGCAGTCCTGGGTAATGCTTGTAGCCATAGGCCTCAAGATCTGCGCTGACCCCTGCAAACGTCGACCTCCTTCTGCACTGCCATCGTACCGTGCCCGATCTGGTACTGATACTCCGTGCCCCTCACTCCCCCCTCCTACCTACAGCTCACCTCTGCAAAACGAAGACCCAGCCCCGTGCCCGCGCCTTGACCTTGCTCCCCTGGGAAGAAGAAATGGGAGCATCCCAGGAGGAGCCGGGAGGTGCTGGCCCACGCAGGAACCTGTGAGGTGGTGGGGGTGGCCCTTTCCCGGGGGGGCCCTGTGTGGCGCAGGGCAGTGCCTCTTTGCAAAACCCTCAGTTTGGGTCCCCCTGCGCCTCTACGGAGGCTCTGGCCGAAGCGTTCGGGGGTGTGCCTGCATGCAGGCGGGTCACTGGTAGTTGTTTACACACGGAGGCTTTTTCGAGGGCTGAGTTTCCCCCTCACAGGAGCTGCCATCGCTCTCTGCTCAGGGCCGTCCCTGTGCCGCAGGTGGGGCACAGCTGGGTTTGGAGGAGCAGGTCTCAGTGGTGGTGCCCTCCGTGCTTCTCCTCTGCTTGGTGGGACGGCCTGGGACCCTGCTCACCACGGAAGAAGGGTGGCAGCAGCCTGGGACCCAAGGGGAAAGTGCAGGCGGGGAGAAGTTCCCGGCCAGGGGAAGGTATCGCATCCCTTTTGGGTGTTGTCCTGGCGCTGTAAGGTCCTTCCCCGGAGCAGTCACCCTTGGCGCTCCACCGTCTTCGGCAATGGGAGGGGAGGCCTTTACTTATAGAGATGAGATGGGTGGGGCCCCATGTCATTTTATAAAATAACTTGTCATTGACTCCCACAGGAGTAAATCCTGCAAACATGTCTCAGGAAGTGCTGCCCGTGAAGGTGCCAGAAGCACTCTATCACATGAATCCAGGGAAGGCCACGAACCTATGGCATGCAAAAGGACTACAGGTAAGAAAACAGCTTTAAAAGTCTGCTTAAGGTCCACTGAATTTGATAAAAAACAAAATCCTGCTTTGTGAGCATGTTTATATACAAGCTACTGTACAAACTTACTGTCTGATGGGGTTAGGCGGCAAAGTCTCTGCGTGAAGGAGTTTAAGGTGAAATGTTTGCTTTGGGGCTGTCGGTGGCAAAAGTCCTCCTGACTCCACTGGAGCCAAAGATGTTAACTTCATAGACAAAATAAGAGAAGTAACCATAACAAGGGAACATAAAAAGAAGAGAAAGTGGGAAAAATTAGCAGGGAAGGAAACAATTTTTAGGGGACTTGAATTATCGGCCTGAACCCAGACTTAAAAAGTCTTTTTTCTTCTATAATTAAATATACTTTTATAAAAAATGTAATATTTATGTATCAATAGCAAAACTTTGACATGAGTATGAATGTGACGATCCCAATTTTTGTTACTGGAAAAGGGATAAGGACAGGAGAGAGAATAGGAATAGGGAATTAGATTTTATTTTCACATTCCCATTTTTGTTCTGAATTTTCCATTTTGCTTTGCGTTCTCTGGGTCATTTCAACATTTGCATTTAACTTTACCTGTAGTATGTTATACATTGTTCCATGTGCTCTTTGACTGGCTGCAGGCACATTACTTCAGGAAGTACTCTGGAAACAGAAACGGAATACTTTCGAAAATTTTTATAAGGACTGTCCTTTAATGGTGTTCTCCTACAAAGCATTTTGAAAGGGGGCACCCTACTTTGTAGAAGTATGTTGGAACTTCTGTTTTTTGAAAAAGCTGAAATATTAGATTTAAAATTTTACATTTGCAACTTGTTTCACGTTCTGGATTCAAACTCAGAGAAGAGATTCTGTGATTTTTTAATTGAGGTTTAATACTTCTGAGAGCAGCAGCAGATTACCAAAAGATCACATTTGAAACAAAAAGCAAACCTTTATTCACAGAATAAATGCAGAGGCACCTTTTGGGTATCTCACAGCTGAAATAGCTCTTCCATCATTGACACATTGAAAGGGTACCCCTGGCATGGATTTTATACCAGCGTATGCTGAACCACATGGTGCTTTGTTCACTATGCTGAGCACTGTAACACTGCTGGGTATAACCAGCAGCTGTTCTAATTGGGGTTTCAGCATAAGTTATTGCAAGTAGGAATTAATTATTTACCCTGAAAATGCTGCTGTTGTTGTTTTAATGTTACCATTTATCATTTATTTCTTTCTTCAGGATGAAGACTCAGACTTTGATTCTTTGGGAGATCGTGAAAAGCAAGAAAAAAATGAAGGAAGTACTGTACCAGGCAAAGGTGATTTCAAGGTATTATCAACAAGAGCATTTTAAATCAAAGAGGGCTGGGGGTTTTGTTTTGCTCAAAAGGGGTGAAGGTTCAGGTAGATAAATAATGACGACAACAGTTAGAGTGTTACAAGGGAAACACTCTTAAATTTATTTTTTTGATCATTTTATTCCACTTATGTTTATGATGTTTGGAACTGCTTGTTATATTTCTATTATGTTTTATTGGGAGCATGCAGAATATCTACTGTTTTAATCCCTTGCTTACTTATAAAATCTTTCTTTTTCATAATGGTGAGCTTTCTAATGCATAATGGCTTTTGTAAGGGCCAAAAGTAACAGCGATGCACGTTCTGCTGTATTGGCTTTGGCAGTGCCATCTCTATCCTAGAAATGTATGGGAGTCCTGCATTATTGAACCCTAATTTTCACCTCTTCTGTGCTCCATCAGAAAAAAAAGCTGTAACAGGGGATTCTATGAAAAGAGTGATGCTTGAACATGCTAGAACTATTTCTTGTGTTTAAAAATCAGTCACAGGTTTATTTTTGTTAGAAATTACTGATTTTGAAAGGGGTTCTCATTCTGCCACTTTGCTATCTGTGCAGTAATTACAGGCATTGTTTCCTATCTGTCAGGATTAGAGAAATTTATATGTGACTCATATAATAATGTTGTCCCAAGAAGCATCTACTTCTGAGGCAGATGGAAATTAGCATAATAATCCATGCAGACAAGTTATACTGAGACAAAATAAAGCTGAAAATGAGCTTTATCTGGAAATTAAAGTGATACTGTAAACAGACAGACAGGTGAGTTTTGTGATAAACCAGTTACAAGGTAGTCCTGGTGCAATTTAGGCACTGAGAAATTAAAACAAATTCTTATTCACATCAATAGTATTTTTACTTTTTCATATATGCTTTTCAAAGTTTAGTTTTTGTGTTTGCCCAGGATTAGGATTTTTATTAAAAAAAAAAAAAAAAAGTCAGTAGCATTAAAAGATTATACTGTATTCTCTGTATTCTCAGGATGTATTCTATCAGTCTTGGGTCTTTGTGGCATTTCATCTTGCAAATATTTAGCTTACAATGTCTGGTATCTCCAGCCTGTGGAGATACCTAAATTTTGGACCATGTATAGGATGAAGAATTTTGTAGATAGTAAAAACAAGCCCAAAACTGAATAATTGATCAGTCTTTGGTATAATGTCTGCTCCTTACAAGGGTTAAGGAACCTAAAATCATGATGAAAGAAAGCAAAAAGTTTTGAACTCCTGGGTTATAGTTACCTATGATAGTTATAGATATGACATGTAACTTCTTGTCTCCATTTCTTAATCCCACATGGTGATGCGTTTGTTTTTCCATTATCTGCTTGGGATATAGGTTTACATCAAAGACATTTAAGGGTCATGTAATTTCAAGGGGGCCAGTGTGACAGTAGTGGACCAATAGAATCACCTTATGTGTATGGGACCAGAACCTTCTTCTAGACCACTGTATGGACCCTGTCTGTCACTGAAGGATTATTTTTCAGATTTCATAATTCCAAAAAATTCATGACAATCTATTGATGATGGACTGAGTTGTCCTTGCATCTGGTTACTTAGTCACTGTTTTTTCTTCTAAGATCAGAACATAGCACTCTATCCTATGCACTTGCATGATCATGACTTGATTACTGCAGCACGTCCTGTGTTTATGTGAAGGACGCATAAATGCTCTTATTTTCTGCTCAGGTTTTCTCAAATGTAATTTTTTCATCACTGAAACTGCCAGAAGACTTAAATATGAGGATCTCTGCCTGCTAGTAGGGATCATTTGTTGGAAACATACCACAGCATATCCCAGCAACTGCATGTACCTTTACACCTTTACACATGATGATTTTTATCTGCATTAAGAAATCTGTATTATTCAGGCCTTGGCTGGTATTTTGCCCCATGTTAAAGCAGCAGGCAGAGCCAGCTCTGGTATTTCAGACATCAGTGCTTATATTAAAACACTTAAGGATTGCAGCAGGTCTCATACAATAATTAATGTGAGGGAAGGGGGAGGGGAAAATTTGGATGCATAGTTCTGATTTCAGCATGAGCCATGTCTTAACAAGGGTAAGATGCCTCATACTTCAGGTCAATTGATACCTCATTCCCCTGCCAGGCACGGGTTGCTTGTTCTTGCAGGGTTTGTGCAGCTGGGAGAACAGCAGCCCTTTAGCAGCAGAGGGGCAGGTTAAACTCTCATCTTTGTACAAAGCAGGAGCTCTGGCTTCTGCTGGGTTTTGGAAGCTGGGAGCAGCTCCTGAGGTCACGGGAAGAGTGGGGAGGTGCCACGTTGAGTGGCGAGGTTATGAGGGGGTTGCAGCTTCTGCCTCTGGTGCGGGTGGGATGCCGGCACGTGAACCAAGAGCTGGGACAGGTGGGAAGGATGGGTCCCCACTGGTGCTGGGCACGGGGTCCTTGTCTCCTGCAAGGACAAGAGCCTGCTGTTGGCAGCAGCTCCAGCCCCGAGCTCAGCAGCAACTGGAGGCAACAACTCCTGAGCCACTCCCAGCCCCGTGGCGCTTACAGGAACATGGCACCAGCTCTGCTCGGCTGCAGAAGATGTCCTGGTCCCGGGTGCCTCCCCTGACACCCTGAGTGGTGGTGTGGGGGATGCTTAAAATGCAGACTGCTGAAATGGCATGCTCCAGGGCACGTCCCACTTCGAAAATGAACCTTGCAAAGTCAAAGGAGGCCGCTTTCCATCAACTCATCACTTTGAAATATGGATTGTCTTATTCATATTTGACATCAAAGATGTAAAACATCTGTATATGAGATGGACCTGTAGATTCCCTTGAGAACCAGTTGTCAGAAATAGAGATTTTTGGAGTATGATGCATGTCCTCTGGTAATGTCTATCTTAAGATGAGACTTCAAAAATGCCTAACAGCTATCACATGTAAACACCTACTTTACAGCTATCTGGAATTACGTGTAATAAGTCTCAACCCTCAGACAGTTAATGCTCAGTCTAGTTTCTTTCTCTCATATTTGTTCTGGTTGGGAAGGGCAAAGCAGTATAAGAGGGCTCTGTCTTTTTACTCACAGACTATCCTATTCCCCTGGCTACAGTTCTACATACGGAAATAATTTAGAACTTGCATATAAAATGGACCTATTTTATAAAATCAGAAAAAATCCAGTTGTTAAACATCTGGAAACACTAAAAGATGGAGGACAGTGTTAACAGTACTGAAAGGGCTATTCAACTAGCCTGAGTTATCAGTCAAATAATAAATCTCTGCAGAAGCTGGAATCACCGTGCACTAAGAGTATCCATGTTGTGTTGACCAAGTTCTGCCTTTTGGAAATGTGTTTCATGCACAGTGTCATGTGCACAGTCTTATTCCTTGAAGGTGTTCAGAGTCCCATGGTGGATATATGTATGAGGAAGGAATGATCTGAAGGACACGGTTCTTGTGGTCTCGCGTATACCCGTCATGCTCCCGTGGACACAGATAAATTTTCCCAGCTGAAACCAGGGTTACAGTGGCCATATGCAAGAAAGAGGTGTCTCCATCCACCTGTGGGAGTTTTTAATTCACCAATACCCAACCAAGACTTCTGCTAATTCAGGTGAAAAGGCGATCTGATTAGAAGTAGTAATGTTACTAATAAAAAATGTGAAACACACGGCTTGTAAAAACCGTCCAGTGGCAGCAGTGCTCATTGGCACCCCCAGCCCTCCTCGCACATCCCTGCAGCCATCGGTGGAGGTGCCACAGCCCCAGCGCCTGGAGGAGGCGAAGGAAGGAAGGAAGCAATTAGAGCGGCTGCTTTTCCGGCGTGGAGCCCGGGTTTGTTGAGAATGAGGAAGACCTTCGGAGACGTGGCGGAACGCAGCAGCCGACCTCGCTCAGCGCCGGCAGCGTGCCAGAGTGGGGTCCCCTGGCACCCCCCACCACAGTGGGAGACAGGCGCCGGGGGCCTGGGCAGGGCTTGGCTCAGTGATGTTCACAGCCTGAAGCATCCTGATTACTTAAAAAATTGAGGGTGCTCGTTCCCTAAGGAGACCTGACTCTCAAACAGCTCAGGATAGGCATTTCTTCACACACCACCAGCTCTAGAAACACTGTCAGTAGCAAAGTATTTTCGTTCTTTTGATTTGGTCCCTGGCTACCATCTAGTTAAATTAACACCCGGAGATGAAGAAAGGAGTGCCCCGGTGACATCCTGTGTGTGATTTCATCTCAGCAGAATGCTTCTCCAGGCCAGGAATGCGGGGGGACCTTAGTCAAGGCAGGGAAGCTGTCCTTGCCAGGAAAGGCTGCTTTGCCAGTAGATGACACAGAAATGGATAGAGGCATTATTATTATTGTGTGACTGCAGGAAAAATGTGTGGGTGGAAAGGAAGCTCTTTTCCTGATTTTCATAGATAACACAATTTTTTTTTTCAGGTTGGCCTGTGTAAATGGCCTTTTTCAACCATTGCAAAAGTAAATTGTTTGTCCTAAGGTTATTTTTAGGACTTGTCTGATCTTTGCATGATGGCTTGTGGAATAGCATGCAGTATGGTTACACTGAAATAGGCAATGGTACCAGCACACTGTGGCACATAATTTTCTCTGCTTCCTCATCACAACGTCTCATTCAGCATGGCAAAGGCCACCTTCTCACAAGACCAGATGGAAGGTGTTCCACATTTCATGCAGAAAAGCAACACCTGAGCACTTTCTTGGAGGGCAGCTGCTTTTTGGTGGTGACAGGGTTTTCATCACACCCTCTGGAGGTGAATTTCTGGATCTCTGCATTGTTTTCCTGTTAGCTTATGATTACTTTGGAATAAATACCAATCTAAAAGGGGCAATAAACAAGACTGAGAACGTTGGCTGTACCTGGAGGTTCAAGAATAAGTTCTCCTCTCTGGATCAGTGTTGCTGGATGACCGCTTTCTGTTTTGGGAAGGCAGTTACAATATTCTGACACCTGATCAAAAATCTGTGGTAAAACAAGGAGCTAACACTGAAAACTAAAATATGCATCGGCCCACCATACATTTGACTGTACTGTTGTGGAATTGTGAGACTGGGGTAGTCTATAGCAGGCATGGTGGTGGGGTTAATGTACCATTGATAACACAAGCTGGGAAGATGCTGCTAACAACAACCCATGCTGCAAGAGTCTGCTAGATGAAGAAGCCTAGAGGCTGAAGAAAGGTACTGAGACAAAAGCAAGTAAACTAAGGTAAAGAAGAATAGCCATCCTCTGGTCTCGTGGACTGTTGTCTCATTAAGGACCACTGTCATTTGGGAGCTCCACAACCACTTGTGATGTGACAGGATGTATCAAGCAGCTAAACTAGTGAAGTAATTTACAGCAGTGCTTCTCGAGATGGATGCATGCCACACATACCTACATCTGAATATAAGTGTGACTTTAAAGAGGGCTGGGATAGACCTATAGAGGCACAAATCTGCCAGGAATGCAGACAGCCTGCATCACTGGAGTGATCACAATAGAGAAAATTCTGTTTACTCATCCGGAGGGGAGAAAGTTGGAATCATTCACCTGACAGAGGAATCCTTTACTTCCACCAACGTAGTAACTTAGTGCCAAGTATCATAATATGTTATTCCTTTTTACGGGAGCTGGTGGAGAATTGGAAGAAGAGACTATGAGGTCTGCTCTACATCTGATGGAGCTGTTGTTTGGAAAATCCCAGTAAAACTTTGTTTCCCTGGGAGTACAGAGAAATTATCAGTCTACACCCCACTCGTGCACTGTCACCGCAGTGTGCTACACTGCACGCAGCTGTGCTATACACACGTGTGCAAGAAGCAGACGTGAGCACAATTTGGGAAGCGCCAAACTGAAGAGAAGCCAAGAGATTGACAATCGGTGAAACAGTCACAGGGTGAATACATCGGTCTTGATTTTATCAAAAGTGAAGCTACAGTGTGACAGCATTGTTGTAGCAAGTCCTTGTTAGCCCTTGTTAGCCCCAGGTTGGGGTCTCCCACTTAAGACTGTGGTGGAAAACTCTCCGTATATGGAACATCGTGACATAGCAGCAGCCTTTTTTTTTTTTTTTTTTTTTTGTTAAAGAGATCATAATAGATTTTAAGTAAACAGAATAACAGAGCTTCAATGGTTTGCTTTATGCATGCATACCTGTTATTTCCTCTGTGTAACTAGACCCTAGTACATCATGTTATGGTTGTCACAGTTGTTAGTTAAAGACATTTCTTTTGTTTAGTATGTTACTGGAGTTAATTAAAATAGCAAATCCTCCCGGGAGCAGTAGAACTAGTGAGGTCTGATCCCTGGGTGGTTTCTGCTCTCCTTGCTGTCTTTGGTACCCCCACAGGCGGGTGCTGGGGCTGCCACCATGGCTAATGCCTGGCTGCTGCCTCTTCCTCGGGTATATGGCTGGTGGCATCTGCCCCAGTGCAAGCACGGGTCCTGATTTCTGTAGCTTTTGTGAAGCCACTGATTTCTTTTGGTGAAAGTTCAGTAAGTCTTTTTGTGAAACCCGCATCTCTGAGAATAGATTTCCTCATGCCAGACAGGTAAATTTGGCTAACACTTTAGAAAGTCATTACATGAGAACCAGGAGACAGGTGATCAGATGGTAGAAACCATGTAATAATAATTTAAAAATAAACCCCAACTCACCTCACTTCCTTAATGTCTCCTATCTAAGAATCTCAGTCTGCTTTGCAAATATTGAATCCATCGGTTCTCACTCAAGAGATGCCATTTGCCTGAGGAAGTGAAGCTGGAGCTGATCCAGGAGCTGGCAGTGCCTTGCGCAATCTCTAGAGATAAATGGCTGCAAGAATTGCCCCGTGCTTATGCAGATCCTACTGAACCATGAGTTTCTGCCTTCTAGGGCATATGTTGGGGTGCCCAGGCTCATTCCTAACATGTGAGTGTGGTGATCCACCTTTGCTAATTACCCAGCTGAGAGGAAGGGTTAATTAACTGGGTGGAGGACTGTATTAATATGGCTGTACTGTTTCTGAAATATGAACCAGTGTCCCTGCATGGGGTAGCTCTGAGGACATACCCTTCCATCAGTTGTTTGCAAATTTTGCAGCCTCTGTTAGGCTTTTTCTCCTTTGAGAACACTGGAAATAGAAGGTGGATGAATTGCTGAGGGTGAATTTCATGCAGAAGTACTAAAAAAGGAAGAAAACAAAGAATTCTTGAGATACATATAAGAGGGGTGAAAGCAGTAACCCTTCTTAAGATCTCAGCAAAAACATTTTAACATAACATGATGTGTTAGGAGAGAGAAGAGAGGATTTTAAACACACATTGAAAAATTAATTTGTTGTGACAAAGAAGGCCTAATTGTCTTCCCATCTGAAAACAAGGTCCTTTTTGCTCTGTTCTCTTAAAAAAAAAAAAAAAGTTGGCAATATTACACATATTGTTTTAAGTGAGCTTCTTCCAGCTTCTCTTTATTGGCCTTAACATCTATTTTGTCTGCTTGTCTATAGTCGTTCTAGGAAGTCTCTGAAGTGCTATAGAAATAGAAGGATGCTCCTAAATGAGAGGAAATCAATCGATAAAAATAGCAGTTGTCAAAAAGAATGATTTGGAGGGCTCTGCTGTAACCACTTATGCAGGTGGAAATGTTTCTAGGAGTGTGAGGAAATGACCGTGTGTCACAGCCACAGGAAATGCTGATTTATTTATTGGCTTTGTCAGAGTAGCCTTTTGCAGATAGGTCTGAGCCAGAGACAGCTTTATGGAATGAGCCAGCAGGAAATCGCCTTCCTTAGAAGAAGGAAATCACATTATCCTCTAATAATAAATAGGAAAAAGTCCCTGCAGTCACAAAATCTGAAGAGACTTGTTTTATAGAAGGTTATGGCTGAGACATTCAAAGGGACCAGAGGAAGTTAAATACTTTCAATCTTAAGGTGTTTTTTGTTTTCTTTTTTTTTTTTTTTTTAGAGGGTATTGTTCTTTATTTTTCCCCAAAGCCAACCCATAACTTATTATTTACCCCCTAAATCCTCTGGAAACAATTCTCAGCCATTGGTTTATCTTGTAGTTATAATTTACAAAAGCTCAGATTATTGTCACTCTTTTTCCTGTACAATTGTAAAGGGCAAAAACGGAGAAAAAAGGTTAAACCACCTCTCTGAGAGGGATATTTTTGGGTTTATGCCCCTAGAGTCAGCAACCACACATAGACTCCACAGTGCTCTTTTCAATGCAATGGGACCTCATGGGTGCTTACTAAGGGGATTGACTGTAATTGCTGGTATTTTGACAGCTCCACCATGGTGCTCACCAGTGCATTTACTCTGTTCAAGAGATTTATTGTAGCTATGTTGTAGACCCAAATTCTGCAATTTCAGAGCAATAGGTTTTGGAAGCGTCTCACAGACAGTATCAGTTGCCAGGGATTTATCCCCTTCTTTTCTGATATGATAACCAACCCAAACTCTCAGAGTAACACAACAAAAAGACAATGAAATGTATAAAATGTTAAAAAAAAATGTCTTCATTTAATAGCAGGAACTTATGTTGCAGATTGTCATCTGCAGAATAGTGATATAGTTGACATAATTTTTACTGACTGTACTATTGTTTTGTAGCATTCAGTTAGTTTGCACACTTGATACTTTTTCCCACTGAAGGCTTATTCATACTCCGTTTTGTATCACTCTCCTCCAGATAGAATCCTCTCCCTGTTATCTGCTGACCGTAAGGATCATCCGGATGAGAAATCTCCAGCGAGTGGACACCTGTAAGTATCTCTATTTTTAGTGGTGTCTCAGGGTACAGGCCACAAGTTTTCTTTTATAATGGTATAGCAGCCTTTTCCAAGTGTTTCTGAAATTAGCCAGTGTTTGTGTAAAGTAATTGTTATAAACCAGGTCAGTCCTTGCTGCTTCCTGCTGTTTCACTGAATGTTACTCCTGTGTGTTCTGGTTTGTTTTAAGGCTTGAATGTGTTTCTGAGGATAAGTACTGTCTCTGAAAGAAAGGAGAGTTTCTGACACAGGTAGATGAAAAAGACTGCATCCCATGTTTTCAAAAGCAAGAGGTAATTTTGCTGTTGGGTTGTAGCACCTTGGGAACTGTGGCTGGGAGGAGCAAACTTTTTCATCCCCCCCAGTCTTGATTCTGACACAGATGAAATGAACTAGTAAAAACTTTCTGAAATCATTACCACCAGGCTAGTGCCATTATTAATTACCCTGAAATTACTGTCAAAAAGCTGCTGACTGAGAGCTGGACACCTTGTCCCTTCTAACGCTTGTGCAGCAGTCTTACACTTGTGCAAGCCTGTGAGTCACACAGCAGGAAAGTGGTGGGAGTTGAGTGATCAGGGAAGAAAAATAGCACTGTTTAGTTAAAGGACATGGACTACCCACATGTGCAGTGAGAAGAGGCATTTAACACAAAATGGACAAGTTAACAGTTGGTTTTATTTGAGTCAATACACCTACATGACCATCTGTGAAAGGATACTGAAACTAGCTCTAGGGTGAGCGTGGAAGGGAAATGGGGTAACCCTGACATCTCTTTTGATCGTCCTGTTTCACCGTGAGCAGCAGCAATCGGCACTATATTCTCATGCACAGGAAGAGCCAGGGAAGATGTTCTGGAAGATGAAGATGCGGATTTACCATATAGTACCATTCCCATCTTACCCTGTGGCTATCACATGTTTTTCTGGAGGGTGTCTCAGAGGACTTCCCTGTGACAGAGCTGCGACGCAGAGACATATTAGCTGTATCTTAGGTCATATCATTGGGTAGCACTCTCTGCACCTGCACCTCCCTCCTGGTCTCTGGCTGTGGCACATGTATGATGATGCAATAACACAGAAAGGTTTCATCAAGGAATCATCTCAGAACTTCTGCATGTCAGGCGACAAGACAAAATCACAAATAACTAGGTTGTAGAAAGAGATTGTGCAAGCAGAACTGAAGCAATATTTTGCATTAAATACACAGCTGACTAGTTTGCCTGCATCTACTCATATAATTAAGGATTGTTTGATATGCTTTGTATCTCAAAGTACAGTTAAGATACAAGAATGACAAATCACATCAGTAGAACAGACTACCTTGCCAGCCAAAGAGCCAACAGTCATTGATCTCCAATGATAAAACTGAAGTCATGCAGTAGTCATACAGAATTACTTTCAAAACATTTTAAAATAAGTATCAATAATTCTAGGATCTCCAAACATATTTGAATACCTATTTTTGCAGTTTCAAAATTCTTCAAAGCATTATTACCTGCATAGAATTTCCCAGATTAAAAGGAAAAAAAAAAAAAAAACAAAAACAAAAACAAACCAGTCATACAGAATCAAATCAATGCCCACACGGTTCTTTGAGAGGGATATATTTGGTAGGTCCACTGCAAAATCCTCTGACATTTGAGGGAACAGAGTAACAAAAGAAGCTGTAGAAAGGTACCAAGTATGATGACAGATCTGAAATAACATTTACATCCAAAGGGATTAATTAGACTGGCTTTAAGAGTGGAAGGGAAATTATTGAGGACATGGAAACTGTCTCTACAAAAAGGAATAGGAGGGAGAAGGAAAATAAGGAGTCATTTTTCACTATTTTTCACAGTGCGAAAATAAAGGAACACCCAATACAATTATCAAACAGACAGTTCAAAACAAATAGAAGGAATATATAAGTAAACTATGTAACTCATTGTCATGGGAATGTATGGATGGTAAAATATATCTGTTCAAAAAGGAATTATTCATGGAGCATAAGTACAGCAAGGGCTATTAACCATGGTATTCCCAGTGCAAACTGGTTTGGGAGATTGTTACTCTGGCATTGCCTGAATGATGGACAGTGGATCAGGTGCAGTACTGCTCTAGAATTAGCTTGTTTCTTCTGCTCTGGAACAAGGTGTAGAAGGGCTATTACCTGGCAGTGAAATGATTAAGAATTTATTTTTTAACATGAAAAAGCCTTATGTTTTTTTATTCTGTCTCATACTTGGAAAAAAGCTAAACTCTTCCAGTTGAGACTTTCCCGAAATGCCCAGTCCAAGATAGACATGCTCCCTGGAAACACATAGACTGAGTACTGGAATTTGACAAATAGCAGGCAGTTAAAAGCGTTGTCTTAAGACAGGAGGTCAGCCTTAAATCTAGTTCTTAAATCAACTCTGTCTATGAATGAAACAAACACAAGCAACTTCCTTTTCATGGGAAAGGTCCAGATGAGACATTTTGTTCCTCCTTTAAAAAGATACTGATGTGTCTAAGCAAGGTAAAGTGTGTAAGGCAGACAGACTGGCCAGGCTGACTAGACCTATCCTTACTGGGGAGACATTTGGTATGAGCAGCCAATGTTTTCAATGTTAGCACTCAGTCTCCTGGCAGTCTGCTGCGACATGCATCATTCAGGGTTTCTGCATTGTTTATTAATAGAATAGAATAGAATAGAATAGAATAGAATAGAATAGAATAGAATAGAATAGAATAGAATAGAATAGAATAGAATAGAATAGAATAGAATAGAATAGAATAGAATATTTCATTTGGAAGAGACCTAGAACAATCATTTATTCCAACTGCCTGACCAATTCAGGGCTGACCAAGTTAAAGCATGTTATTAAGGGCAGTTGTTCTCAAAAGGTGGAGGAGGCTCACAGGCCCCTCTCATTTTATGGCAGCTGAGGGTTAACCTGTGTGTGCATGCATACATGAGCACAGAAAAGCTTGTTGGTTGACAAACTAAAGAAAGTGGCTGACTAGAAGAGGAAATTCTCACCACTTTCTTGTATGCACAACATCACTGTTGTCTGTAACTCATGCAAGGAAGAACAGAAACCACCTCTTGTTCTAGGTCATCTTGTGGTCTGAGCTTTTACCCCCCTCAGAAGGATGTCTTGGAAAGAGTTACATTACATCAGGCATTTCTGCCTTTAAATAATTCATACTTGCTGTTGATGCCACACAATAATCTTTCCAGTATCATACAGCACCGCTGATTTTGCCACAATAACAACTGTTTTGCCTCTTTCCCTACCCAGTCAGCCAGGCTGACTGCTATGTGTCATTGTGGCTGCCGACTGCGACGTGTGAAAAATCCCGCACTAAAACTGTGAGAAACTCAAACAATCCAGTGTGGAACGAAACCTTCTACTTCAGGATCCAGAGTCAGGTCAAGGTAAGGAGCCAAAGTTAACTGCTTGAGGCAGCCTGAAGATTTTGTGTGTGGTGACTCCAATCTATCTCCCGAACTGTGCCCAGGAGCTGTTTAAGAGATGGCACATGATAAGGGACAGTTCAAATTCTTTAATGGCAGAGATGACTGAGTTCCCATGCTTCTTTGATGGTGCTGTTTAGGAGGTCCAGAAACTGATCTCAGTATTGAAGTTCTAGGAAAACTAGAAACTCATGTCAATCAGTGCATGATGGATACAGAATTTGGGACTTAACTAAGCTGTTATGTAGGTATAGCCAATGTATTACTCATGTTACAGCAATTAAACTGAACCAGGGAAGAATGAATATTCAATTTGTTGTATGTTTCTCCAAAGAAGGATGTTACTTAATTTCTCCATTTTTCTTCTCAAGTACATCCCCAACACTCCTTATTCCCTAGAGCTAATGATGTCCACGCTGCAGGAACTATAAAAAACCTCTTCTTCTTCTTTTTCCAGAACGTTCTGGAGCTGACAGTGTATGATGAGGATTTTGCTACTCCAGATGACCATCTCCTCTGTGCACTCTTTGATACCGCTAAACTTCCAATTGAAAGAACAGTGCTCCTGTATTTTAAGCCCAGCCCACAGGTGAGAGCAAAAAATAAAACAACTAAGAAACCTGTGGAGAGTTATACAACACTTTCAAAATCTTGGGGTGAGCTTTCTGAATCTGCCATGGATGACTTATCCCAATAATGGGTACGTGAATTCCCATTCAAAGTATAAACACAAAAAATATGGTAAAAAATATGAATTTGAGACCCAGAGCCCCTCTTCACAGTATTTTTATAAATTATTAAAGAGCATATGACTGAAACAGTGTGGTAGGTATGGGAGGGATCTGACTGTGAACTATCTCTGAGCAATACCAACGCTCCACATCTATGGCAGGGTGAATAATCTGTAACTTTTTTCCCATGTGATTCATAGCCAGTACCCCCTGCCCCTTTGATTGTATCTCCTTTCACCCCAAAGGCAAAGCTGAAGTTGCCCCTATGCGTACCCCAGCACTGTTCTCAGCAATTATATCCCAGCTAGGGCTGAGTCTGCTGACTGGTCTGTCAGAATTAGTGAGGTTTTGGAGCTCTGAATGACTGGTTTACCTTGTTTCTCAATTTCCCATCTATAAAATGGGAGAAAGGGTCTTGATTCCCTTTGAGATCTATGAATGAGATCAGTGAAATATCTCACATGCAACTTCTTGCTTTCATGGGCAGATTGCTTCTAGTACCCAAACTAGGTCACTCACAACTAATTCACACATATCAGTGCTGCCTTACAAGGGGTTGCACAACTGTAACTCTGACTCACTCAATAATACCAGTCTCTTTATTATATTAAAGTGATAGGTGGAAAGTATCTTTAACTTCCAAGATAATAGCAGGGACAATAGGTCATGGCAGGACAGTGCCAGGAATATTGAGGTGAAAAAAGTAAAATTCAGAAGACAAAGCAAGTTGCAAATTGTCTTTCTGCAGCAGCTTCACACTTGGAGATAAAGATACAGGTTATTTTTGATGATACCTTGAAGAAGGAAGGAGCCGAGGAAGGAATCATTTAACTGTCTGGTTTCAAATGTTGTTTGAGACCTTCCAGTCTGAGATACTTATCACAGGCTGTGCATTGCAACCAGTTACTTCAATATGGTATACCAGGGACCTGGATTTAGACAAGGGAGAAAGCATTATGTAGCTACTTCATTTACTTTCTTGTTCTTGCTTTCAGGCCAAGGAGGAGCTAGAGGTTGAATTCAAATTGGAGGTCGCGTAAGTGATATCCAGATTGTTTTAAAAATGCAAAAATCATTAGATGCTAAAACAAAGAAATAGCATTAGAAGTTACACTTTGTGGGATTTCTGTAAAAAAGCACCAGACTTCTACATCATTTCTGCAGTCCCAGACACATGGCTGATCCCTTCAGTCAGTTTGTTCTGTAGTTTAGTTGCTTTCAAAGATGCACCTCCCAGCATTCTGTCTTCTATCCACAGTGTTGGATTTGTCTACCTGGGGACATTTCAGAAGACTTCTGAGTGTGTGTGCATGCGCTTGTGTGTGCATGCATGTCCACCAATCTTCCCATGACTGTTTCAGCTTATGCATTGGACAGACCCCTAATGTTGGACCACCCTGGTTAGGTTTCCAGTGTACCTCTGACTCCTTTGATTTTCCTCTGCAGCAATGTTCTCAACCTAGTATTTCTGTTTTCTTTCTGCCTGACACAATGACAATGTGTTGGAAGCTCTAGTGCAGGGCTGTTCCTCCAGCATGGTCAGCCTGCCATCCATATGAATCAGTATTTTTGTCTTTGTGTTGCCACAAGGTAACTAGGGCACCACAGAAATAAAGTGACCAGCCCTCGTAGTAGTGGGGAGCCAAGAGCAGAATTCAAGTCACTCCACATCATCTCCTGACTTCACCTGAATGATCTGGAAAGCTTTTTTTCCCCCCATATAATTGGTACCCTCTGCCTTGTGCCTCTTTGATTGTATTTGCATACTGGTGAACACACAGAACTGGGCTTCCCAGGGGGGATATGCTGGAATATTAGCATGTTACTGCTGAAATACATGTACTTTACATGTTCTAGTGAGGAAAAGAATTTGACTGGCTAACCGCAGATTCTATTTTAGATGATCATGTGTTTGCACTGCAAAAACCCCAGCAGAGAAACCTGCTGGTGTTCCTCTGGCCGTCCTTCTAAATGGGGAGAAAGGGCAAAGATGAGTGGGAATTTGTTTGATCTAAAAAATCCATGTTTTTCATTTTGTTTCCCAGTTCTGGTCCTCATGAAGCCATTGCTACCAATGGAGTCCTAGTGGTATGTCTCTTTTTTCTCAAGAAATTTTCTATTAGCGTTTGCTTAATATATAGGGGAAGGAAGAGTGGGTGTTAGAGAAGCCAGTAGGCTAGTTCTTTCTCTTTCTTCCCTCTTTCCTATTTAGATACTTCAAGAATAAGATGTTTTATTGCCCTGTTCATTGGTAATAGCCTATTATTTCCCATTTGTCCTGTATTTTGACACACACACATACAAAGATTTCATCTGGTATCAGTACTCTTTCAAAAAGTGTGCTCTTGTCTATCAAAGCACAATAGTAAAAAGACTGTGAACCCACTTGCTGATAATCTACCCAGCCCTTTCCTCCCCTGGGAGATGAGCCATGCCTGGTGGGTAAGCTCAACACTAAGTATTGACCTATCATAATTACATTATGTGAAAGAAGAGTGAGTACCATAAAAAAACAAACAAACAAACAAAAAAAAAAAAAAAAAAAAAAACAAAAACCCCAAACAAACAAAACCACCAAAAAACCCCAAACCAAACTGTTAACAGCAATGTTTCTTCAGAAAACCCTTTCTACTACTATTTTTTTCCCAGTTTAATCCTTTCTATCTATGCTACCATCCTGAAAATGCTCCTGATTTTCTTCCTTTGTATATTCCTCTTACTGTGCCTAATTGTATGTCATTGTCACTGGAGGATGCTCTATAACTACCTCCAAAGGTCTTCCTTTTTCTTAGTCAGGGTTTACTGGGCAAAATCCCAGAAATGCCAGGGAATTAGGCACTTCAGGTAACTAGACAGGTCCAAAAGCTGAGTGATTCACAGCTTCTAGTAACGAGGCTGGGATATGACCACCTCTTATCACAGATCCCTGTTCTCTGTCTTTTACAGTGTCGTGAACTTTGCTGCTTGGAAGTAGAAGTGGCAGAGAAGATGCAGCAAAAATCAAGTAAGGTTATTGCTTTGTTATTTATTTATCAATAATTGCATATTTACTGATGAAAGGATGCCCCTTTCATATAATGTATTAGTAGAATAAATAGTGTTTATAGTATTCAGTGCAGTTAACATCAGGTAAACACATTACCTTGTTATAGACTTCAGTGACTGCATCTTGTACTCCCTTAGGTATATGTAAATAAGCTCTATTAGGCCTGCATTAAAGTTGAAACTCCAGTTGTATATAACAGCAAGAACATGCAGTCCCTCTTCTATAAAAACAGGATCCACTTTGCTCCTTTCCCTTTGCTGCCAGCAGTCCATCCCTTCAGATCCCTTTCCACTAGACAATACCGTGGTCCAAACACTACAGCTCTGCCACCTGCACCCCACTTTTAATCAAGCTAGCACAATTTCCCAATTAAATAATAATGATATTTCTCACGACCTTTGTCTTGCTTTTTTAGAGAAAGAGCTTTCCCTCACTGTGAAGGGCTCCTTTGAGGGGACTCAGGATATCACGCTGGGCCCCGACGGAGTGGCCAGCCCATCGGGTCCCACCAAGTTCCACTATATCAAGTACGCAGAGCCAACTCTGGACGTCATGTTGCCAAAGAAGAGGCGCTACCACCCTGTATGTTGGAAGCGGCCTCAATGAGTGCCTCTTTAGGAAGGGGGAGGAGGGGGAGAGGGTAAACCCGTTACTGATTTTGTCCTAAAGCATGTTGTTTTCCCAGTGGACCTGTAAGTACACTACAGAGACGGGGTCCCCAGTCGTGATGCTGAATTCGCTGCCCATGGGGAGGAAAATCACCGTAGCAGAGGTGAGCATTGCTACTGGCTGTTAGGAATAAAAGGTCACTGGGGTAGAATCCATTCCCCATAATATTGTCCCAGGTGGCTGTTAAGAGGATCAGAAACGTTCTGATAATTTCTCAGACACTGAACAAAGAGAAGCCTTGTATCTCCAGATGTTTTCTCCACAGAAGCAGGTTGTCCCTCCATCAGTCTCCATTATGTGCCAGTAGTGGATACAGAGACCAACAGGGATGTCAGAAAATATGATATCTCCTTCAGTACATCCCTCCCTCTTTATCCAAAGACTCAGTGACCCTTTATTTGCTTAGGGTCCAACTTGAAAGTTGCTCCTTGGACACAAGCTAGGAAAAAGTCAATAAACCTGCCCTTAGTAAACCATGTGCTTCAAAGGACAATACATGAAAATATATTGAAAATATTAAACATAGCATATGGATTTTAAAGAATGTAATGAGAATATTGCTTGAAATAGATGTACGTGTTGTATAATTTTAAATGAAATTAGTAGAAGAAAAAGATCCTTACTATTGAAAAATGTGTTTCTGCTAAAAAACATCTACAGATGTCCAGATTATTAGGGACAATCTTGTCCAAATATTAATTGTTATGTTGTGAAGAAGTAGGAGAATATAATATTTCAGGGCCATTAAAATATCCTCTCAGAACAGAACACTTTTTGTCAGTTAATATGAAGGTGACAGTAATGATTTATAGACAGGATGAAGTCTTGGCAGAATCAAACACAGACTTGCAGTCTTTTCACTGTGAGACTGTGGCCAGGATGTCAAAGAGCTGCTGTATGTTAGAGCACAAAGAACAGGAAATGTACAAAAAATTGTGTTTCAGGATGTTGCAGAAAGCTTGTGAATAACATGGGAAATGGGACCTACTGCATGAGCCTCAAGAACCTCCTATAGCAAGAGAGTTAATGGTTTCTGCAGCCTGGAAGATCCCCATTTGGGATCTGTGGGTAGGGATGTTCCACTAAGGACAAATTAATGTTTTTGGAAATATATGCTGACATCTGACATCTAACTTTGCCATTGTTGGGGTCTAAATCAATCTCTGACCCCAAGACAGAAAGAGAAAAAAAGAAATTTTAAAACGAAAATTTAAAAATTACAGTACACATTCTTGTTTTCCAGGAGAAAAGATTTGACTTGAATGTGAGAACACAAAGCTGGTAAGAGATCTTCTATTCCTAAAGTCTTGGGTTGTTGATTTTGATATTATTTTAGCCACATGGAAATGACACAAGGAGGCATTCTTAGTCTGAAAATTCAGACCTGCTTTTAATAAAACATTAAATACAGGCACAGTGTATTATATGTAGTTAACCTTAGGAAGTTTCGGCTTTAATCAATAAATGTTAATAAACATGTATTTATTTTAGCATTATCCTTTCCCTTTTGATCACAGAATATTATTTTTGATCAATGTCAGTCTCTGAAATTCACAAAAATGAAAAAGCTGACTAAAAAAACAGAATAGAGAGTAAACATTAAAAGAAAGTAAACACTAAACTAATCAGAAATTATGAACACTAATCAAAAACTATGAAATTTTTTTTTAAAACTCTCAATATTCAGTAGCAATAAACCTTGAATTATGTTACATCCAGTTATACTGTATATTGAGTAATTAATACTCATCAGTAAACATGAAGATGTTTCATGTTATCCACAGCTATACGTAACACATAGAACTGGGCAAACCGATCTGTTCTTTTCGTGTGTGCCCAACTAGGAAATAAAAGGGAAAAATAATTTTTAATTCAAACTGAGTTTTCTGTTGTTCATTTCAGAAAGGCAAGTGAGCAATGACAACAGGAAAAACAGCATTATTCCAAGACAGGAAAAATGCTTCCTGCTTATTTATTTTACTTTCAGAGAACTTTAAAAACTCTTGATTTACAATGGAATCTGGCTTTTGCAGCTCCACCTAACTCAATTTCCCTTGTGTGTCTTCATTTACAAATACAGTTGTAACCATCTGACTGATTTTATCCAAATCTGATGGTGGAGAAATGTCATAAATAAATTTAATCGCTAGTTTCATTGAAATTATGGAGTCAGTAGAAGAGAGAAGCTCTGTCACTGAAAGAAGCAGCAAACCCTCCCATTTTAGAGTGTCTGACCAGGCCTAGCTGGTCAGCCCGGGGCCCACAGGTAGCTCTGGCCTGAAGACGCCACGCCAGATCTCCTGCCCACTGATGTCTTGTAGGCACAGAGTGGGAAGGGACGGGAGGGATGTTGATGAGCAGAGGAGCACAAATGTCCAGGAAATAAGCTACAACAGTGGAGTTTTAAGGAATGACTCATTAAATTTCAAAATGGATGCAAATGAAATCTTCTTCTGAGGAACGGCTTTGCAATTTTTGAGTCAAGGTTGACGTGAAATGCAACTGCCAGCGTTGACCTGTGAGATTAGTTTGTGCGAGTGCGGGCAGAGCAGAGCTGTGGGTGTGAAACCCTGCCCCACGAAGCTCAGTGACGCTGGATGTCACCGAGGCCATCTCCCGAGCCATCAGGGTGACACGGCCACTCGTGCCTGGCGGGGGGTGGGTGGGTGGGTGGCTTCCCTCCCCAGCCATCCTCACCGCTAGAGGGGGATGCGTTCCCACTCGAGTTGCTCAGAACAAGAACTTCCCTTCAGGTTGGAAACGCCAGCGTTTGAAAACTGGGTTTTAGTTTAGATTTAGAAGGAGAGAATACCCTGTGAAGCAGGAATCAATACACTCACTTTTGACTATTTGCACAGGTTTTCTAAACTTTAAATTATTCTAGTTTTAGAATATTCATTTAAATATTTTGTTTCATTTGTAAATCCTGTACATTGTTTCTTCATCAAATAGTAGTAACAGGGTATAATGCTACTGGTTAAGCTTGCTAATTGAAATAAGTTTTCTTACTTTTAAAAATATGTAGAATATTCTCTCTTGCCCCTGTCATATTGCATCACCCTGTTTGAAGGGAAGGCTGCTGTAGATTATCTTTGATCAAAGTCCTAAGATTGATATGGGTGGGTTAATATGTAGAATATGTGCTTGTTTTTATCTTAGTAATTGTTCATGCCACCAAGACCTGGACATGCGCTTTGGGTTTGGCTTATGTTCAGAGGAGATGGCTTTCCTGAGGAAAAGAAAAAGATATGTTGCAAGTGCCCTGAAAAATGTTTTTCACCTACAACAGGACCTGCAGGATTTTGAAGTACGTGTGTGTTGGGGAGGGTAGATCTTGAATTTCTTGTGCCTTCATGTACTCTTCTAGATGAGTGTTGGCAAAATGGGCCACATGTATCTGTTGTGAAGGTACCAGCTTGTCCATGTGTCTTAAGTACATTTGCTTCTGCTGCCAAGGCTTGTTATTGAAAGAAACAGTAGTTGCAGTGATTGCATCCTTCATGACTGCCAATTTGGAATTTGTCATATTTGAGATGTGTTCATCCCTGCCATCCTATGTTAGAACTGGCTTGGGTCAGAAATACTGTGTGCATATTAAATACATTACATAGCAAAGATTTCTTCCCTTGTTCGAATTTCATCATTTTGTGAGAGTTTAGTATAAACACCTCTGAGTACTTCTTATAATATCTTCCCTCTCTTGCAGTTTTGAAATTCCTTAAAATAAATATAATTTATTTTAAAGTAACTTCATAACACTGAAGAATAACAGCCTTGATGAGGGTAGCTTAACAACAGTGGTTGTGAACTGAGTGTATTTCTTCATGGGGTGGGCATGTGGACTTCCATACAGTAGTTGTAGATATGTGAAGAAAAAAGTGGCAAAGGAGTGGGAAATTTAGAGAAAATACATTTTTGCCTCCACAGAAGGGTTTATTCTTGTTTGTCTATACCCTAGTTCGCCCTAGAGATGGGCAAGAACTCAGGTTTGGGTTAGTCTCTGAACCCATGTTTATCCAGAGGGAAGCAGCATTATCAGTCATTGCTTGGTTTTGGTTTTGGTTTTGATTCCTTCCAAAAAGGGAGCCAGGACCCGGGCCGGGTGTGGGGGCCAGGCCCCGCTGCAGTCCGGGGTGCGACGTTGAACGCTGTCAGTGTGAATGTTCCATCCTCCTCTGCCCAACAGGTCCCCGTTGTGGCTATCATCACGACAGGTGGAGGGCTGAAGTCAATGACAGGACTATACGGCAGCCTCATGGGACTCAAGAAATTAAATCTCCTGGACTGTGTAACGTACATCAGTGGGCTGTCTGGCACCACGTGGTAAGCCAGCTCATTCAGGAGGCTTGACCAGGCCTTCTGAGGGTGATGCTGCTGCAGAGAGGCGCTTCTGAAGGCAGACAAGATCAGGAGATTTTATTCAAACTTCGTAGAAACAAGCTGTTTCTCAGTAACAGGCCATTAAATATTAACTTGATCTGATGCACCGAATTTTTATTAGCAATTCTTTACAGTGTTTTTCAGCTCCACATTTACAGCAATTAAATATATATATGACAATTACAGTTGTCAAAATGATTTCTAAGTAAGTAGTTGCTGTGGATGTAACTGTGGATGCCCGTAGCATCACACCTCTTCCTCTCTCCACTGATGTCCCAGTTGTTGTTCCCAGTAACTTCTGAGGCTGGTTCTGCTTTCTGACTGGTCACACAGAGAAAACTGTAGGACAGTGCACACTTACCCCTGCAACCTGCCAGTTTGGGAAAGGATTGAGTTCCCCTGGGCAGCGTTATTCCCTGTTCACAGGACCCACAACCACCCAACATATGATGGTCCCCTGTAGGGAAGGCTGGTAGAATCAAGGATGGTGTTAAAAGAAAGTATAGTGATACCATAAGAATAACACTGAGTGATACAAAGCCAAGAGACAGCAGCTGGTGTGACAGATTTGGGTTTCTAGAAGACAAACAATGTAAATTTATAATTTTCTGACTAATTTGTGCTTCAGAAATATACCTACGTTCACACCGGGCAATTTATCCCTTAAGTTTCTACCAACTCTGTTTAAAAAAAAAAAAAAAAATCAACAACATAAAAAATCCTCCTATCCTTCTGGGCCATCTTTAAAACAGTCATAGAAACTCTGGAGTGTTCATTCTGCTGGACAGAGGAGCAAAACCAAAGCGTGTTTGAGTAGAAATGAATCCTTAGATGTAAACCTCTGGCCCCAAAGGCACAAAATTTCAAGTCTTTTTTTACTTCTGTTGACTTTTGATGTCTGTACTATCTTTCTCCAGGACCATGGCCAACTTATACAGAGATGCCTACTGGTCGCAGAAGGACCTAGACTCGCATATTGGTGAAGCCCAGAAACAAGCAACTAAATGCAAGATGGGCTGTTTCTCTATGGATCGCATGAAGTACTACGATAAGCAGCTTTGTCAGCGGAAAGAAGAGGGATACAGGACATCATTTATAGATCTTTGGGGACTCATGATCGAGTACTTACTAAATGATGGGGTATGATGTATTTCCATTTCTTAGAGAACGATGTATTGTTCTCTTAGTGAATAGAGAGGAAAGTAGCCCATCTTTTCAGAGAACATACCTTAAAACAAAGTGGAGTTCTCCATGTCAGCAATCTCTCAGATCATTTTATTTCCTTTAACAGTCTGACTAGGGAGAAATGCATCCTATATGTTAATAAATCTGGTTGTGGATGCAGTCATTTGAACTCTGGCTGGTATTTAAATAGAAGTAGAGGCAACCTTGGGCAGTCTGCCTAAGATGCAGATTACGCATGCAAAAAGAGTTCAAGATGCAAAGCAGAGAATCTCAACAGTGTGAAAACTATCCGAAGCAATCATGAAACAGCTAGAGTGCTTGGTGATTTGCATCCACTGTCAGGTAACTTGATCTGCAGGTACACTGGAGGCAAGTGTATATTTTACCTTTGCTGAGAAGGACTGCTCAGACAGTAGGCGGTTTAAGTGATATTAATTTTTACAAAAATTTGCTTTTCTGTTATTTGTAGTGGTTTCTACCCCTACAGTACAGAAGTCCACTCCCTCTTCTCTCCAGCTGGACAACAGCTCAAGGATGTGTGCTTTGGTGCTTGGGAAGTGGGAAGGGACGAGTGGTTGAGGACTGAACGGAAGGGTCCTCCGGTGGGGGCAGAAATGCCGCAGTCATTCAGCCATTCATTTGGTTTTATTTATTTATTTTTATATAATATATCTATAGTATTATATATATGTAACCAGAAAATAAATACATACAGAGAGGAACACTACATATTTAAAAAAGATATATAGCTGAAGAGGTAGATGAGGTCCCCCTCACAATCTAGCCAAGTATCTTTCCCTTTGTGCAGTGCTGAAAATTGCCATATAACCATTACCCTCTCCAGAACTAGCTTCTCTTAAATTTGTCAGCAGTTCATGAGATTTTGTGTTTTTTACGAACCTCTTCAATGAGAATATGCTTTTCCAGTAAAGAAGCTGGGTGGGATGCAAATAATCTGCTGCCAAGTTCCAGTCCCCTTGAGAGGTTGGACTGTGGAAGCCGCTGTGTACTAAAAAAGGAAACTCAGTGCCAGCATGCTCAAGGGCTTCCTTCAGCCCCAGGAGAGCAAGGACTGCTCACTACTCTCCTCATCCGAAGGGGCAGCTTGCCCCTTCTCCTACGTGCCAGGGCAGTATTTTCTAGGATGTACAGACATGCATGCAGAGGTAGTTTTCCCTTTACCTCATCTTTTTGTGAACTTGTGTACAGAGTCAGGACAGACCGTGGGAGACTGGTCTGCCACTGGTGGGTGGGTGGGTGCCTGCAGTGCTCTGAGCAGTGGATCTGCCGTGGCCCGTCCTGCGTGCTGGGGGCAGAGCCGCCCGGCCCCTCCAGCACTGAGGCCATCGAATTCACCGTGCACCATTTCCATCTCTTCTCACATAACTGTTTTTCTTCAAAACCAGAAAGACCCCCACAAACTTTCAGAGCAGCAAGAAGCACTGTGTGACGGGCAGAACCCACTGCCCATCTACGTGTCGGTCAGCGTCCGGAACAGCTACAGCACCAATGATTTCAAAGGTGAGGATGATGTTTCAGATCCCGTGGGGCTAAAACCGGCAACTGAATTCCTGTGTTTCGCTCTTCTCTGATTGGTATCACTTGGAGAAAACAATCCTGGTGTGTTAGTTGCTTTTTGGAGAACTAACCATCACCTCCATGCCTTACAATTTTAATACAAGAGTTTTTTGAGATCAGCATTTCACGGTCTAGACATACACAGTCGAAATACTGCCAGAAAGACCATTTTTGAAACATTATCTGATCCATCTAGAATAAGAAGTATTGGAATTGTCCGAGAATTAGATACTGCTTTTTGTCAATGCCCAGTTATAGTTTCAATATGAAGAAAGACCACATAGTTATGATAAAGTTTGGAAAAACATCCAACTTACTCTCAACTGAATCTTTTGCTTTGCTCATTATTTGGTTATTTTTTTCCATGAGGAGAAGTAGCTGGAGGAGAAGAAGAGGCAGAGGAGAAATTCAGGTCAAATTTTTTATTGTTGAGGTGAAAAAATGAACCACTTCTGAACACAAAAGAAATGGTGGTCCATGACCTTTCTGTCCCAGTCTTTACTCACACTGCAGTTATATTGGGCAACTGCACTGCCTTTGGAGAGGATATCCAAGAGTCAAGGATGAGTTCTGTCTTCCTTAGTACCACACACAAAGAGTATAATTGGTTTCTTACAAAAATATTCATTTCTGAAGAGCTGAGTACCTGTCTTTGTACATAACCAAATTATTGGTTGAATAAGGGTTGAATTCCCTTGAATAATTTGGTCACAGGGTCTGAGCTCAGCCCTGGGGGCGGCTGTTGGTAAGCAAGGCTGTGCAGCGGCAGCGTAGCAAACACCTCAGGCCAGCGTGTGCCCCAGCCGCCGCTCTCTCCACCCCCGGCCGCGAGCCCTCTGAGTGTCCCGCTGTGGCTGTGTTGCAGAGTGGGTCGAGTTCACCCCCTACGAGGTGGGACTGCTGAAGTACGGCGCATTCGTTCGCACGGAGCATTTCGGCAGCGAGTTCTTCATGGGACGCTTGTTAAAAAAGCTCCCCGAGTCCCGGATCTGCTACCTTCAAGGTGATGTATTGCATTATCCTGGCACAGAGGCACTTTTTTGCAACACCATTAACCAGAGGGTAGATATTTCTGGTTTAACATACTGAACAGTGCTATGATATCACCTGCAGGGAAATGGGGGTTTGTGGTAGTTTGTACAAAAGAAAATAGTAAAAAATCCCACATATTTTTTTCAGTTTCTTGTCGCTGTCTTAGTATGCACAAGCTTTTTAACGTGGATTAGATAAAGCTCCTTAATTCTTTAATTGTAAGGAATAGTTCCCACTTCTTCCAATTCCTCTCTGAATACACACCAACTTATGAAAGTTTTGAGACAGCAGGAAACCTGCAGCTGTGCTTCCACTGTGAGGTTTAAGTTCTACTCCATGTAGAGAATCCCATCTACTAAAGATGCAGGCCGCTTAGGATGAAAAATTAGATCAGAAGCAAAGGATGTCTGAATCTCTCTGGTCAGTCCCTGACTTGCATTGACGGGTTGTCTGTAAAAGTAATAATATCCTTTTACCAAGGAGCCAGGATCACTGGCAGGTGAACACAGAGCTGTGCGAGTTCAGTTTCAGTCATCTCTTCTTACACTCATGCTGCTTAGAAGCTCCTCGATTTCAGTAAATGTGCTGTGACATTTAATAATTCGTAATCCCAAGGAGTAAATTTAAAATGGTACTTCTTGGACTGACCCTTTTTACCTGGTCCACTACTGGGAAATTAGTTTTCTACATATTGTTATTATTTCTACTGGCTTCTGTGCACCACTGAAAACTAGGAAGTCCAATTGTGTTAGACTAATTAGAACACATATTTAAATATACAATGGCAGATGAAATGGTGTCATTGTGTTTTGTCAACAAAGCCACCAGTGCCCTTGTGGGGAGGCAGAGCGGGGCAATCCTGGATGAAGAAAGGAGTGCACAGTGCTGCGGGAGCCCAGTGCATCTGCAAGCCTTTACATGCTGCCGGGTGAGATCTTCTCTCACAAACCAAATGGCTGAAGAGCCAGTTCATCCACTGTGAAACAATTCAGAGTGCGTGAAAGCTGACCAGAGCATGTGTAGAAGAAAAGAAGCTGGAGTAAGGAAGACAGGGATGAAGAAAGGATGTTTTTGTGATGTCTCACTATCTGAGCTCTTATTTTGCTTCTTGAACAAGTGGTTTTTTCTCCTTTACTACTCTCCCATTCTTCTCTCTCCTTACCATAGGACAGAGCCATGTGATACGTTAGGCACAGAATTGATAGCAGCAGACTGAACCAATGGCATAGAAAGTTAAGAGGAATTTAACAGCCCAAAAGTTCAGAAATATTTAAATTAAGCCCATTCAAAAGTTAATCCAGGAGGTCAAAATAGAAGGAAAAGGCCAATTTCTTGTTAGAATGTGTCCTTGTGCTCACTAATTCCTTTTACAGGTATGTGGAGCAGTATATTTTCTGTGAACCTATTACAAATATGGGGACTGTCTCACAGTTCAGAGGACTTCTGGAAGAGATGGACACAAGACAGAATAGAAGAAGTTGGTAAGAGATTATTAAGCCTTTCATTTATGGTCACTTAGTCTTCTGGATGCCTTTTGGCATTATCCTGTCAACTATGTTGAAGCCAGCATCCTGGGATCCTCCTAAGAGATAGCAATTTCCCCTCCCTCCGTAAAGACTAAAAGGAAGAGGGTAATCAGGGAAATGCTGCTGTAATTACTAGACTTACTAAAACCCTACTGATTAAAAACCCTCTGTCCTTAAGAGGAAATTTTAGAGGGGTCACACATTTCTGAGGAAGTGTTTTGGCATTGCTCATTCTCACTCATCCATACAGAACCAAGAACCAGTGGCAGAGAATAAAGTTATTTTTACTGCCTGTGCAGAGAATAAACCTGAATATCAATTGGTTAATCAATATTTCCTGGGGTTTTATTTTATTACTCAGTACAGTAATTACTGCATTGGATACATCCCGGCACAAAGATAAATGATGCCCAGAGGGTATTTTCTGAAGCAATACAGAAACCATGGTTTCATTGCTAAATAATTTAATATGATAGTAACTATAATTACAGACATCCCGAAAATAAAGAAATACGCCGGTGCAATCACGGAAACCACCAAGTCTCTCCTGCTGCACCGACAGCCACTTGGTCTGGCAAAGCAGGTTGTGATTTCAAGAAACCACGCCTTGTGTTGTTTCTACTTTTCACCCACATATGCTGCCATGTAGCCACCCTGAAAACTACCTGTAGTTTCTAAATATGAATCTATTTCCCAGGCTGTCCTGAGGTGCTCTCATTCTACCGATTAAGCATATGCTCATGTGGCCATGGGTGACTATCAGGTAGAAGCTGCTCCTGTTGCGATAGACCCCCTCATGCCCTGCTGTGGCCCATCTGACTGAGTGGGAGCATATCCTTCAGTCCTGTTTTCTCCACGGTTGCCTCTGTTTCATGCTATCTTCCTGTGAGGATATGTAACTTTTTTTTTTTTTTTTTTTTATTTTTATTTTTTTCTGACAGGCCGTTCTCTGTTTTGTTTAGTTCCCTTAAGGTGTCCCTTTTCTAGGACTAAAGGCTGCTTCTGATGAACTGCCTTCAGGCCAAAGCTTAGGGCCATCACCAGAGCTTTGTCCAGCAGCCACTCCTCTCCTTCAGAATAGTATTTGTGTGTTTAGTGACTCATCCCAGAACAACCCCTGAGATCTCCTACACATGAGGGCAACCAGAAATAAACCCGAATTAACAGACAGTTCACCAATTTGTCTCCCCTCCTCTAGATGAAGACCCAGTGTTGCCTACAAGACCCCATGAGCTGAGGACTCGCATGTACACTCCTCCTGGCCCCCTGTCCAGCGCCCTTCGGGGAGCGTTGACCGACCGCTTCTCTGTCGCCCAGCACCACAATTTCCTGAAGGGCTACCAGCTGCATAACAACTACCTGGAGAATGAGCAGTTCTGTAGATGGAAAGGTAATGGGGACCAATATTTAATAGGCATTATTTTCAGGAGGTTTTGGGGTGGAGAATTTAGGAAAGAACCTTGTCAGGCTTGGCAGGGGAAAAAAAAATCTCCTGAAATAACATTTCTTCTCTGAACTGAGAGAAGAGACTAAGACTTCAGTGTTGCCAGGTATTTAAGACTGTTTTCAAACGGCTGTTTTTAAACATAATCATATGTTTAGGTGCTTTAGCTGAGATCTCTGTGGTAGACTTGCAGCCAACAGAACCAAATTTAAAGTAGGAAAGAGCAGAGTGAACATGGAAGAAAGCTTAATTTGGCAGGACTATGCCTCTAACTTCAGAAGCCACTGGAATATCCCAGAAAATATGATATATGAGAGAAAGCTGGAAAGGAATGGGGCTTTGTAGTCCAAAAAAGAGGGAACTGGGGGGTTAAATCCAAATGTAAAAAGGGATGGGAATATTTTTTTTCTCCTAATCAATGATGGATAAAAGATGAAACAGTGGTTGAAATAAAGCAAGGCAGATTTAGGTTAAGTATTAGAAGTAGATTACTGGCACTAATAGGTATGACAAGTTACTCTAATATATTGCCTGGAATCTCAAACTAGAATATTTTTCAGAACAAGGACTTAGGTGGTGTTTTGCAGTCCCTCCCATGCCTATTGGACAATCCAGTAGTGTGCAACTAAATTAAATCAAGCCTCTGGGATGGTCAGTTCCACCTTGCATTTCCTTTCCAGTCAAAATACCTACATATCATTTCTTATTCCAATAAACAATTTCCTTTTAGACACTGTGTTAGACTCACGTCCCAATGAGCTGATGCAAAATGCCGATCACCTGGGCATGATAGACGCTGGATTTTTCATCAATACCAGCAGTCCACCACTTTTAAGGCCGCAGAGGGAAGTGGATGTCATCATATATTTGAGTTATACTACTGGATCACATACATCGGTGAGGAGGATCTTCTTATTGTGTGTTGTCTCTCCTTCTGCTTGTAAATACCTAGCCTGTAGTGCATAAAACTCCTAGTTATCTCAGCTGTTCAGTTTTTAACTACAACATTCCCCTACATTTTTCACTGTAGTGATTAATAGTTTTGCTATTTCTTCCTGCCCCTCCTGGAATCTCTCTTGCTGGTTTATGAACATGCTGAATTATTCAAGAGGACATCAGCATGGTCTCTTCCAGAATGATGGGAAGAGCCTCTTCTGCTTTATGCTGAATCAAGCAGGTTTCCAGACCCTGCACAGGAATATGCATAAAGATGAGGAAATGATTTGTCCTGACTTAAGTTAGAGTATAAAAGGGGTTAAATGGGTAGTCAATGGCAGATCATTTCTGGGCTGACAAATAAGATGAGACTAGGAAAATTCAATGACAAGCATCTTCCTGCAGAAATTCCAGTTTCATGGAGATAAGGTTAATTAGCTGTCTATAAGACCTTGCTGAAAGCAAATTTGGGTCTTTACATCTCAGAAACTGACGTTAGTGAGAAACTCGCTTGGTCTGCTTAAGTGGAATTATTTTTTGTGAATGAGAACAGTTGTGCTACTGCTAATAAGCCATATGATGCATGAGACATACAGGTAATTAAGTTTCATTTCATCCTCATACATTGTCTAGATTAATTTTATGAAGAAAGGCTGTTGTAGATTTAAGCGCTTTGGTAGAAACTGTTTCCTATTTGATAGTGTCCACTATTAGATGGTGGAGAGTAAATAACACAGCACATAGTAGGACATGATATTCTATTAAACATTTCAGGGGAATGGTACAGTATATTTTTGTGCTTCAGACTTTCTCACTAATATATCAATCTCAGTTGACACTGTGCCATAATGCTTGCACAGGCAGAGACATAATTGCACATTCAAACTTAACTTTCTTATCTCCTGGCTTCCAAGCACGTAATAACATCCATTAAACATTCTCTTCCTGTGGTTTTCTTCTCTAATTAATTCCATACAATATATTAAACACAGGCTCTTTCATTTACTAAAACTACATGCTTTACTCTAAACTTCTTCAAATTGCTTCAATTTTTTAAAAAGCATTTTCCTGGATGAATTCTCTAACTCTAAACTTGTGTTTACAGCTAGTGATTAGCATTCTGGTTACTATGTATGGTAATTATGTGTAGAGTAACCTTTGATGAGAAGAAACTCACCCTATGGATCTGAGTCACTAAACCTTAATACTAGACAAAAATTTGGGGGCTTTAAGACAACCAAGTTGAATTCCAATGCTGACCATTTCTGTGATACTCCAGTCTCTAGATAAGGCGTATAAATACTACTCAGAACAGAAAATCCCATTCCCCAAAATTTCTTTGACTGATGAAGATAAGAAAAATCTGAAGGAGTGCTACATCTTCCACGATTCAGACTTGCCAGGATGTCCGATCGTGATTTTTCTTCCCCTTGTGAATGATACCTTCCGAGAGTACAAAGCACCTGGTAAGTTACAAGTAGTGGCAAAGAATTAAACAAGAGACACCACTACCTGCTTCCCTGATTCAGACAGACCCTTTTTCTCTGTGTCTGACTATCTTTGCTGGCTGGGTTCATGGGGGAGCACTTTAACTAGTTAAACTTGTTTTCCCCATCCCTGTCAAAGCCACTGTGTTCATTCATGTCATCCTTGTGGCCCTAAGAGGATAGACACAGATCTTGTCTTCTGGATGGTGTTTACCTTAATTTCTCTCCCGTTTGTAACATAAAGTGTTGCTAGCTAATAGTAAAGGTTTTTTTCATTGGGAAAAGTGTAGCGCACTCAGCTGATTTTCATCTGCATATACTGTCTGTTTTCTAGGGATTTCATTCTACACTTGAGGAAGCATAGTGTCATGTAAGAATGGTGGAGGAACAGGAACCTGGCTTTCAGGCTGAACTCTACAATGTCAAGATCAGTGTGTCTCGTTTTGGTACAGCATCAGACCAGGGGTCATTTTGCTCACTGTGTTGTGCTCAGGGCCTGTTCTTTTTCTGTTGGGCCACCTGCTTTGTATTCCTCTCCTTTACTGCAAGTTACTAGGATGCATTTGCTTTGCTCCTTGGTAGCAGGGAGCTAAAGTCTAAATTCTGCTTTTGTAGAATTTGGGAGACACAAGAAATGGAAAGTCAGAGCTGGACATTGGTGGCAAGTCCCCTGAGACTGAATTCAGGATTGCAAGAACTTTAAGTTTCCATATGTTTCTATTACTCCTTTCTCACTTAATTTCTATTCTGTCACTAGCAACTTCCCTTCCACATTTGGGGTTCACAGAGGTCCCAACTGTTCAGGATAAGATCTGCAGTGCACTGGCAGTAGTTGGAGAGCCCTTTCAGCCTGATACCATTGACTGATGCATGGCTTTAATGAGACAGATATCAATGAGTAAGCTGTAGATGTCCACTACAATGCCATCATCACTTCAGGCACACAACGTTCTCTTCACTAGGGCTGGGGATACAAGGTCTGTGTTATTAATGCATTTAACCCCCGTGAATTTTCTTCCAGAGGAAAGTCCTCCTCTTTGGACAGCTTGTCACTGACTGAGATAAACACTGAGTCACAGCAGCAACTTCTCTTTCTCTCCAGGTGTCAAGCGCTGTTGCTCAGAGATGGAGGAAGGACAACTTGATTTGACCAGTTGCTTTTCTCCCTACTGCATGTTCTCGGTCAGGTATACTGATGAGAATTACCGCCGGCTGCTGAACCTCAGTGAATACAACATCCTGAACAACTCACAGATGATTATGCAGGCCTTGCAGATAGCGATGCAAAGGAGAAGGCAAAACATGTGCTAATCACCCCTCCAACTGCCCGTCTTCTCAGAGGAGATTTTCATGCTCTAGGACACAGAAGGGACATAGCTTTTTGAACACTGGCCGCTCTGCACTACAGAAAGAAACTACCCCAGGTGGCTCAGTGTTTTGTTGGTTTGGTTTGTTTTAATTCCATTCCCAAGAAGTGGCCTCTATAGGCAAAAACATTGCCTGGGAAATTTGTATACATGCTTTGTTCCCTAAATTGAGGTTGTCTGTAGAACACTTCTTACCTAAAATCCTTGTTAGATTTTAAAAGTAGGGTTATTCTAAGACTAACTTATTACAATGTATGACATATAGGAAAGTAATTTTTTACCACCACAGTGCTACAGTAATACAACCCAGCCAACATACCTACAGGCCGCAAGAAGGGGGCATAAACTTCTGCTCCCCACAATTCTTCCTCGTGGAACACAAGGTGCATGGAAAATGAAGAAAACCTGAGACACAACTGGAAGCTGGCATTGGATCCCTGGGTCAACTCTGTTTTGCAAGTGTCCTGAAGAGAAGCTGCAGAGGTTGGAAATGTAAGAGGGACAAGTGTGTGCACACAGCCAGCCCCGTGAATCATGTCCACCTCCTGGGCACCCTTGGGCTGTGTATGAATCATACATAAATGGGAAGGAGCAACTTAGGAGGAAGTGGCATAAGATTTTTCACGTAAAGATTTTTTTAAAGACAAAGGTGTAATTCAGGCACAACAAAATTTCCTGTGAACTTATGTCAGTTTTGGTTACTTTGTGTTGAGACAGTATACAAAAGAGTCAACATTTTATTTTGAAGCTTTCAAAATAAAACACCCTGTAATATTTTTCTCAATTGAGTTACTTCTCATATTAAACTTCATTTCTTAAATCAAAGAGTTCTTGAAAAAAAGTTATACTTTTACTAAACACTGAAAACGGTTGTTTTACTCAATGTAATTTGTTTAAACAGTTTAGAACATATGCTCATCAACAAAAATGCTTATTTGTTTAGTTCTGCCTGATCAAACTGTGAAGATAAGCAGGACTGTCAGTAGTCTGCAACAATTAAGACCATCTTAAAACAATCTGAACAGACCCTTCATGGGATCTAGCACAAAACCAACAGTAACATTTGTCGTGGGTTTGGATTTTTAAATTTTCTTCATTTTCCCTTTTATGAAAAGTCTCTTTTCTGAACTGTTGAAAGTGCTAGGGTGAGCTGTAAAAATTGTAAATCCATAACAAACTTTGCATTCTAGGAGCAAGTCAAACTGGAAATACACTTTTTTTTTTTTAAGAAGTTTTGTGTCCTAATGACAACTGAGAAAATTTTGAACAAAGAGCCTATTCAGTGAAAAAAAAATCTATCACCTTAATGTCATAATCTAGGGCTAAAATAAACCCGGGGAAATGCTTGGGTAAGTTGAAACATTTCATGTTGATATTTTACAAAATGTCTTTGTTTTGAAACATAGCTTCTTTTTAACAGACTGCCTACCTCGTCAGCCCAAGGAACCCAACCTGAAAATAACAGGTTTCATTTACAGTCAAATAACATGTTTGGCTTGGTGCAAAATGGCACACTAAGGATTTTCATTTTGGCAAGAAGCAATGACAAATTATCTTTACAAATTGGTTCACAATTACTTTTGCCAACATTTTGTCATTTATGAAGTCAAACCAAACCTTATTTTTTTGTGAAACTGTGGCCTGATGTTGCAACCCTAAAGATCAGAATATAAATATTAACATTTGAAACTCTTAAGGTTTTGAATGAGTATGCACTTCTGCTTGGATTTTTTGTTCTGTGGTAGTTTTACTCATCATACTCAGAAATACAGTGCTATGTGGTCTGCATATAACCCTGGGAATTGCCTCCATTTGAACCTGAATTCCCCAGTGTGAAAAAATAAACACAGTTCTTGGCCATAAACTCATGCCACCTCTAGTTCTGAAGAAATGTTATTTACATGCAAATATTCCATGTATACAATATTGGACAATAAAGACTTGTTCGCAAAATTAAAATTTTGCCTTGCTCCACATATTCAGGCATTTCAGTAATATGCTCCAGGTTCACAGTGTGTTCCTTGTTCCAGGAAAACAAAACTGTTGTTATCTGTGCAAAGAGCATAAGAGCATACCAAATACTTGCTGTGGGCTTTGGGGATGAAGGAATGTCAGTGACAGATTTCAGGGGTACAAAGCAAGCCACGGTCCCTTCCTCCCACAAAGGCTGTCCTTGATGTGCATTGCAAACATTATTCATGAAAATGAGAGCTTTTTGGCCATTGCCACTGTGGGAGCAACAGCCTCAGAGCCCCAGTCCCAGTCTGGTTTATAGCTTAGCCCTCCAAGGGGGTGTCGTAATGAGGCGCTGCCTTTAGCTATGACTGAAAGATGCTGATGTTGCCAAGGGTTCTCTGTGACCTAATGAAAAATGCATTTCATCAAGCTACATCATTGCAGCTGGCACACAGAGGAAACATGCCATGTATGTAGACACAGCCCTTCATGGTGTTGTGAAATAACGTAGCCTATGGCAAAAAATTATTCTACCAAGTTGACTGTGATGACTGTTGATATTATTTTGCATAGGAATGCACAAAGGGGAACTGTGCTGGCTGGTAGCAACATTTAACCAGTAAGATCAGGAATGCTTGGAGAATGGGTAGCTTTTTGCTCAGACAATATACTGGGAGAGCAGGGAAGCCAAGGGATTCTGTTCCCCCAGAGATTTTGACCTGTTATGACCTGCTGAAGTTACAGCAGTCCTTGTCTGCCCTTTTTAACCCTGTTCCAGTGAGCTGGGAGCTGTGCTGGTTTTGATATCATAGGAGCCAGCTGGGTGCTCACAGGGGCAGGCATCGGTGTCCTGCCGCAGCCGTGGCCTCGCAGGTGTGCTGGGGACGGTGCCCAGGGCAGCGTGCGGCCGGTGCTGAGCTTGGCCTCTGGCTGGCAGGGTTCACTGGGTCATACATGGGCACTTAAATGCAGATAGATTACAGCCAGAGTCAGTCTGAGCTGGAAAGTGGTGCAGAAGTATTTACAGGGGGTGGAGCTAAGCTAAGGAAAGTCATTGCTTTAGGACTCTTCGTCTAAACGAAAATAATAACAACGAGCTACAAGAAAGAAAGGGAAAGAATACAATGACTTGAGGAGAGACCGAGCCCTGCTGGACCAAGGCTGAGTAGATAGAAACCACTATATAAGTATGTCTGCTCTGTACACCTAGACCTGGGATTGCAATGACGTGGTACAGAAAGCCTCAAACTGGCTTTTGCAGGAACCAGTTTAGTCTCAGAGCAATAGTGTTGTCCCTCTTTTTTTTTTTTTTTTTCATTAGCTGTTTTATCCTATCTGCTTACTGTCACAGATAACCTAAGTTCAGTAAATGTACTGTTGCTGCATCTTATTGCAGAGTATGTATTTCTGTAGGCTTTGAGGTCTTTCTAAGTGGAAAGTTCAGTGCTCAGATAAAAGGGCATCCTTCTCTTACCATTAGTTACAAACCAGCCATTGGGCAGCATTGGGCAAAGTGACTCAGCATACTTCCATCTACTGTACAGGCAAAGGTATTTTCTCCTACTTACCCGACCACAGGACTCCGCTTCCTAGCATACGAAAATGGGAGGGGAATAACTGGGTTTAAGAAATCAGGCAGAGGTGGGGCTCTGAGTCAGTTTATAAAATAGCTGCTCACCTGCATATAAAACATTTAAACTATTGGTGTCTGTGGAAGCTGGGAGATGTGAATTGCTACAGATAACTCTGGATGTGTACATGACAGCGACCACAATGGAGCAAGATGGCATTTTGTCTCAGGTAAGAAGGGTGCAGAGCAAAACAAGGCATCTGGGATCTGAGCTGGCTATGCTGCACATAGTGCAAAGGTGGTATTACTTTCTTGACCCACTACTGAATATGAATGACTCTGCACAGGATGAAGAAAGTCCGTACTTCAAGAACTCATCATGGAAATTTTAAAAATTATAGCAAGACAGGGGAAGGAAGTGAAAACTACTTGGGAAATAAGAGTTTATTTACAAAGGGAGCATTCTGTGTATTTAGGAGATTTCTTTATTTTACAGATGTGATATATGCAACCTTAGAATAAATATTGAATATCATAGAGATGTGCTTCAAGGTGAAAGATTAATGACAGGGTGTGTTTACGGGAGACAGGTTTGCTGTTCCTTTAACAACCAGGGACAGGATCTGCCTTCCCTCCCAGTGTGTCAGGCAAAGGGTGGCCCTTCCCTGGCTGCTGCGCCTCTGCTCAGGCTTACTGGAGCAAGCCCAGCTCAGGCAGTGGGACTGGGCACAGCAGGAGACACCTGTATCTGCTGGGGCTTTGTGGCCAGCACTGACCATGGGCTTCCCTTCGCTCCTGCCCTGCAGTTCTCGCTTCCAGATGAGGATTTCTTTTAAGAGACGGGATGTTTTTTTTCCAGAGGTAATGTTGGCCCTTCTTGTTGCAGGAGCTGATCCCTCAAGCCACTTGGCGAGGAGAAGGAATTATGCGGCTCAATCCTGACGGGGAACAGGGGACTGCTGTTACAAAGGTACTGCAAAAGAGATTTAAAAAAAAAAAAAACAAAACAACCTATTAAAGAGACTTTCCTGCTGGGTGGAGCCTGGGTGAGAACAGATAGGGTACAGCACATGCCAAACAGTCTAATTAACTAACATAACCCATCCAGCTGCCTCTGTGAAACATTGTCCCGCTTATCATTTTGATCACTTCACTTATGCAGTCTTGCTTCATGTTAAAGTCCTAGTGCTGTTTTCTGTCCTTGGCACATGAGAAATGTACCCTGTTTTAACAAGACTAGTATCTTTAAGAGGATGGGTTTGAATAGGCTCTCTGCTACATATGTCTTGCTAAAACACAAAGGGAAATCTACTGCCAGTATAGGAGTAATAGCTGTGAAATTGTGCCACTTTCACAAAGAGTATGGCACAATTTTGAAGTGGATCTTCAACACCTGATTTCCTGGATTAATCCTTCTTCTGGCCTCTACAAAAAACTAATGCTTTTCTAGGGGACTTCAGATACCTCATACGAAATCTTTCCTCTAGGAAATGAGAGGACCAGCTGTGCTAAAAAAGATTTTTTAACCTTGCTCTCTCTATTTTGAGACCATTTAGTAATAATTAGGATCTCTCCTTTGTTCTCTTTTGAGCTGAGTTAAGCTGCTGAGCAACAAGTGTTGTGCTTACACTTTAAGAGATAGATAACCTGTTGATTAGTTGAATGGAATACCCAAAGATGAGCAAATATGCCCTGAACCACAACTCTCTACACTGTAGGGATCACAGCAGGTTCAGAAGAACAAACCAAACCTCTCAAATTTTTTAGGCAAAACTCACACCGCTGATGGGATTTTGGTCATTTGTTATTTATACCAAGGGTCCTTGGTAATGACAGGGCACATCCACATGCTCGAGTACTTTATTAATCTGCACTCCCTCCCTGGCTCTTTGGGATCACCACAAGCCACAAAGGTGGCTCCAGGGGGCCCGATCCCTGAAGCTGAGTTGAGCCCTTCCAGGAAAATGACTTCCCCAAAGCCAGCCACTGGCAGCACCAGTTACTGGCTCTGTAATTACTGAACACTTTCCACCTGTACCTGCCTCATTTCTGTGCCTTGGGAGTTGGGTTTTAGACATGAATACAAACACCTTTGATGGTCTTATCCACAGCTACTCTTAGCAGTGGTTTGACATCCTTGATTTGCACACCTGGTCACCTGTTATGCAGCTGAACAGCATGAATATCGTTGGTGCCTTTTCCTGGAACGGGGTGCTTTGGTTACCTGGAGGGTAATTTTACCTGTTTCTTCATTAGTCCCCAATCTCAACAACATATACTCATTAGCTCTGGCTGCATGCATCACACTTAGTTTAAACATTATGAGAGACATCATATGGACATATATTCCATCGAGCCCATGAATACTGATGCACTTCACTTTTTACAGATGGTAAGCATGGCACACTAGTACACAGTGCACACCAAGTTGTTTTGCTCAGACAGGCCAACTAGAGCAAAAGTCCTGCTCTCCTTTCCCGCAGTACTTGTGTCACACATCCTTCTCAGGGGGACTAATGTCATGCTAATGCCACTTCAGGACTGGCAATGGTCTTTTTATAGTCATTTTACAGTACAGGTGAAGTGAGCAGATAGTATCACTACCTGTCGCTGTCCCTGTAGTTGCACTAAATGCCTTTTGCATTTTAGAAGTTTTGGAGCAAAATTTTCCTACTGATATATTCCAGCATATTGTGTCTTTTCCTCCTTTCTATAACTGTAGAAATAAAAGGTTAGGTGGAAATAGACATTAATAGTATTTGTTTATTTATTTTATGGTAAAAGGAGAAGGGATATGAACTCATGTTTGGGCTCTAACATGAGACCAGAACAGCAATATGAATGGCTAAGAAGTGAAGCATGAGGCTAATATGAAAGAGGGAGGCCAAAGGGAACAAACAAGGGTTTCTTATCAGGCATAAAACACTGTGTTTGCACTTTTTGTGCAAAGAAACTCCAGACACAAAGAGTTTACATGGTTCAAAACTAAAGAAAAACTTCTCAGAAGAAAAAGTCAGAGGTGAGCTCAGCTGAAGACGGTCAGTTATGTCCCTGTAAATGAAAAACACATGCATAGGGATTCACATGGTGAAAGTGCAAAACAGCAATCTCTTCCTGTGACATTAAAAGCAGCGTGGGAATCAGAGGTCAGTATTTAACTCTGGGCAGTACTGTACATTTAAAAGATTGGGAATATGAGAAAATCATATCCCATAGCCCAGGAGACTGAACATGTGTAATGACTAGATGGGAGATGATTCACACGATGACGATTTTATCACTTGCAAAAAGCCTAAGTCAGCTTTTCATTTTCTACCTTGAAATTTAACAAGTAAATCTTCTATCAAGCTGAGTCTGAACCTCACCACTCTGTGCAGCTAGATTTTAGTTAGAAAGCAAATAAATTCTCTGTAATAATGCAAATCCACATATCATGCAAGAAGTTTTTCAGTGTAGTACTTGATTTAGGTATTAGTAGGAAAATAAATCTATTGGCCATTTCATAGCCACATAGAAATATTGAAGTTGTTCATGATTTGGGTATTTCTCTCCCTAGATCATTTCTATCTTCTCAATACGCTATCTACCATTAACATGCCTTCCTGTCCTTTGTATACTCTTTGGTTTGTTGTTTGGTTTTTTTTTTTTTTTTTTCCTTGTAGATAGAATCATCTCTGTGTTACTTACTGACTGTAAGAGTCATAAGAGCAAGAAATATCCATCGGGCAGATGTCTGTAAGTATCTGTAATGCTCTGTATGGTCCCCTTAACCTTCATGGGGTACTAGCTAGTCCTGATCCAATAAAAAGTGCTTTATAGAATTCTTCTTTGGATGGAGAATATCCTCTCATTGACGTGCTGGTTCCAACAATGAACAGAGTGTGTTGCTCTTCTTTGCATTAACCTTGTTCTGTGTAAAGGTAACTCTATAAGACCACAGCTGTACCTATTGCACAGATTTCTCTGCATCCCCAAAGTGAGCAGGGAAAGCTCTGCAGTCTCTTGGAAACAAGAAATGTGGAAAGATGTCCTTTGTTTTCCTCTGGAGTATGTTTATATAACAAAGGACACGAGCTAGTTGGGATAATGGAGCAAATACTGAAAATGGAGTAGTCTTATCTCAAATTCGGCTTGTACTCAAAGCTTCCTCAAGGCTAAGTAATCCAAATTACCATACCACAGTTTCCTGTGTACCAGCTTTCACAGACAAATCCCCATTAGGTGTTGTTACATTTTGTAGGTTCTCTTCCAATGGCCTGCAACTGAAATATAAAAGAAGATTATAGCTTTACTTATGCAGAAATCAAGAAGGATTTTTTTCTATGTTTTGGGCTTTTTAAAAAATGTTCTGTCTGGCTAAAATAGAAGCTGTCATTTTGTTTCCTTAACCCCTGTGGATATAGGATGCTATGGTTGTCCTGAATTATTTTATCCTGGGCTAGACTGATTTCCCAGGATAAAAGGAGGAGAAACCCCTTTGTTTATAATGCATTTATTATATCTCTAATCACATTCATTCAGAGAAGAATCATGTCCCTCTTGCTTTTTCTCCATTCCTATTACCTAAATTGTAATGTTTATGTTGGACAAATATGTCATCATGTATCATAGTGTCTTTCTTTGAAAACAAAGCATCATGTTATTCAATTCGCTCTTTCTTCTAGAGTAAATCCTCATTTTAGATGTATTTGTGTTTTTTAACATACAGTAAGTCAGACTGATTGCTACGTGAGCCTGTGGCTGCCAACTGCTTCAACCAAGAAATTTCAGACTAAAACCATACAGAATTGCAAAGATCCGGTCTGGAATGAAACCTTCTACTTCAGGATCCAGAGTCAGGTCAAGGTACTGAGATGGGACTTCCCTGTTAGCCGTGACCTGGGGGGCAACTGCCAGGTTTTTATCCTTTTGCAAAGGGAACGTAAGTAATTTTCTCAAGAGGCAAAGAAATACGCAGAAAGGTGTGAGAATAACACATATCCTTATGCTGGTTTTCCATGCCATGAAAGACAAGTATCTCTCTCAGCCACGGATAGAATATGACCTTTACAATGTCTGTGATTTCCTCTCATTCCTCCTTGTAGGCAGATGCCTGCATGGAGTTGATTTCCCCTCTGCTTCCTCCCCTTCCTGCTCTTTTTCTTTACAACCTACCACTCCTCACAACAGCTGACTCTAAAGAGCTGTACCCAGGAACTCCTGCTTTGAATGAAACCTGACACATTTCTAAAGCCTTTCCTTTCCCTTCCCAGAATGTGCTGGAGCTGACGCTCTATGATAAGGATGTGGTTACTCAAGATGACCACCTCTTCACAGTGTACTTTGATATAGCCAAACTTTCCCTGGGAGAGCAAGTCTTCATGCACTTCAAATGTGATTCACAGGTGAGGTCTGAAATAAGAAATGGAATAGGGTGGCAAGAACATGTTTGTCTGCTTTTCTGTCTAAAATGTTATTTGCAAAATCTTTTGGGTTTTTTCCTTCTTGTGTATGGACTGCCCAGCCACATAAAAAGGAGTTGTTTTTCACTCTGATGTGGGAAAGCCTCTTCACACTTGGATCTGTAGGCCTACTGAAGGGTTTTATGTTGGCCACAGAAGCTTACAAACTCCTGGTGTTTTTGCAAAATTATCACTTTGCTGGGCCTGCCCCATTGAGGAGTGTGTCCACTCCAGTCTGTGATGCTTTTTGTCATAACTTGTTACTTAACCTAGTAATTAGGAAATAATAACTTTGTAATCGGAACCAAGTGTCGAACCAGACTAGTTGCTAATTATGGACTGTGGAATGGCTGTTTAAATAAGGTGTCTAAGTCATGCCACTCAGCTTGGCAACAAGAAATATTCCTATTTTGAACATCCAGGGAGGCTCTGAAAGTTGTACATCCACCTCCTGGTATGTTCTGTCTGTCCCTCTCCTTTTCCAGTTCTCTTCCAGTCTCTTGTGCATCTGTCATGCACCATTCAGCTGACTAATTACCTTATCTACACACACCCAAACTCCACTCTGCAGTTCATTATCTTTAAATGCCTTATTTGACCATTTCTTTCTCTGCAAAATACCAGAGGAGTAGTGTGTGGACTTCCACTAGCCCTTGGTAAAATAAAAATATTTGGCTAGTTTTAACCCAGCTCATTACCATCTGGGTGGTTACAGGTGCCATATGCAAGCCTTTCATTACTGCATTTGAACAGCTAAAGTAGTTAGGGTTCATACTCTTCAAGCCTTTGTAAATTTTTTTTTGTCCTATATTAATAACTTTTTGGTGTGTTTAATGCAATAAGTAATTTGAGCAACTAAGTAACATACAGCATGATCTCACTTCTCTGTTCATCATCCCTTTCTGTCCCCACCTTTGTTTTCCTCTCTCCTGTGCTTTCTTCCTCCTAGGGATTACACTTTTCTCCATCACCCCACAGACCAGGCCTTAATGTCAGGTTTACCTGTGCCCCAATGCCCTCAACAAGTTGCCAAACAAAGTGGTTGCCCTCTTCCACAGCTGCTTTGCAGGCCACTATTTCTCCCCCTCACACCAGAAAGCTCTGGCTGCTCCCCTCAGCAGACCCTCTTTCTCTTTGCCGACAGACTCGGTATGAGACAGCATCTCCACCTGGGTCTGTCCCTTGTGTCCCAGCAGAAGCAGGCAAGCCAACTACTTTCTTTGTTAAAAACTGCTGTCACAGCCATCCAGAAACTCCCTATCAATAAAGAATCTTGAGGCTCAAGACACACTGATGTGAGGTGGTGGGTGCCTCTATTTTAAATGCTCTGCCAGTCACAAATAGTGCATGCGTACCTATATTGTGAGAGTGAGAACTTGCATTATGAGAACTGCCAGTAGACTAGTGACAAAAACATTTTCCTTTCTTTATTTTCCAGAGACAAGAGGAGCTAGAGGTGGGATTTGCATTGGATAATATGTGAGTAAACATGAAATGCAACATAATCTGCAGCAAAAAGAAACAGCAATTCAGAGGCATGAAATAATCTAGTCTAATTGTCCAGAGTGCATCATTCCTTGATGATGCTGATGATGAACACAGTTTCCCAAGGAATCTGTGCTATGAGCTGTGTGACAAATTGGTGAGTGCCAGGATGACCTCCCATGAACTTCAGGTAGACAGGGACAACACCCTAAAACTTTTTCTTTGACTAGTGTAATGAATACTATTTAACACCAGAATACTGGGACTGCTGTTTTCTTACGTGTTTGTCTTTGAGATAGCTTGGTGTTTGCCTCCCTTCAAAGCACAACATGGAATAACACACTGGATTTCTGGCCTAGAACCCTTTCTGTCCCATCCTTTGACAAGCTGCAATTTTTAAAAAACTGCATCCCATGAAACCATCTGCAGCTTCAGCCTGGGGCTCAGCATAAAATCACTGCACAGTTTGATGCCACAGTACCTTTATTTTTTGCTGAGCTCCAGGACTGGATGAGCTAGTACAAGGATGATTGTGCCTTGACAGAGTAATATGAGGAAACTTGTACTGTAAGCCTCCTGGGAATTTTCTTTCAAATCCAATGTGCAGCTAAAAATAAGCAAGAGGAAAATCCAGAAGGGTGTAGCTCATTAATTATACTGTAGTTATACTGAGTTATTAAAAATGTATTTTTCTTTCTGTTTCCTAGTTCAGGCCCTCCTGAAACCATCATTACTAATGGAGTACTAGTGGTGAGTGTTATGTTTTGTCACCTTTCTCGTCCTGTTGCCACACTTGTTTCACTTGACTCACAGTCACCAGGCCAACATGCCCTCTGACTGAGCAAAGCCAGCACTGAAACACTGTGATTTCCCACTTCATCCCCTGCCTCACACCACATCCTCATGGGTGGCACCTGCGGAGAGGCTGCGCTGGAGCAGCGGGGAGACCCCCCCACGCTGGCCTGCCTCCGGTGCTGCAGGGGCAACCCGTGGAAGCACCTTAGGTCTGAAACACTGGTGCAGCAGTGAAGTCTCCCTTGGACACCACTCCTCAAAATTCCCGTATTGCCAAAGCGACAGGGTTTGTCCCATCCCAGGCACACATCATTTCCTGCATTCATAGCTGCGCTTTTTACACAGAGACTTTCTGACTATGACATTAGCTTTGTTTCCTCATTATTTTTGTTTAAATCAGTCCTCTGCACCTCTGTCAGTATCCTGGGAGTGCTGTTTTCCACTTTGCCTTTACCTTCTCCTTTCTGCAAGCCCTGTTCATCCACACTGCACTCCCAGCCTTGCCCTGGCTGCACCCAGTTCTCAGAGACTCCTCCTGTTCCAGCCAGCATCTGAAATTGAGGTTGTGGCTGAGAGAAAATGTTTTCCTCAGGACAAAGTGCACTGCCTGTATAGCATTCCTATCATCATCAGTAGGAGCTTAGAGTAGGAAACAATCTCAGACTGGACAATTCCCTGCTATGAGGTATTTTATTGTTTGTGTCTCTTACAGTCTCGCAAAATCTGCTGTTTGGAAGTTCAGGTGGTTGAGAAGAAGAAGAAAAAGAAAAAGAAGAAGAAATCTTTATCAAGTGAGGTTACTTCTCCATCATCTTTTTAAAAATCATGATAAGCTAGTATTATGAAGGCAATTGACTTAATGTAAGAATGAAAAAAAAAAAAAAAAAAACCAAACCAGCAAATCCAAAACATGAGAACAGCCTTGTGGTAGACTCTATAATAACCTTTGTTTCCAATTTTGATGTGAAATCTACTCTGTGTCTGCTTTTGTGTTGCTTCCTCAGAGAAAGAATTCTCCTTTAAAGTGCAAGGCTCTTACGAGGGCACCCAAGACATTATGCTGGGATCTGATCCGGTCTTCAGCTTCTCTCCTGCCAAATTCCACTATGCCAGATACAAGCAGCCAATGCTGGATGTAACACTACCAGAGAAGAAACAACACCCCTCCTTCGTATGTTATAACTGGACTTTATAAAACATAATAATGACATGTAAAGTAACATGTACCATAAATAATAACATTAATTTGCACTGTGGAAAGAGAGTAACATTCCTTGCAATAGAAACTTGGATATATTTGTATTTTTTCAGCGCTCCCGTGTGTATGATACAGGGTCTCCAAATGTGGAACTTCATTCCCTTCCAAGTGGAAAAAACATGATCTTGGCACAGGTGAGTGCCTGCTCTTCTGTGGGAGAGGTTGAGAAACCTGAGGGTGGAAGTCTGGAAGTCTGCATCCCCCTGATGATTACCAGGGTACTTTCTGATGATGAAAGCCTGCAGACAAAAATGCCACAGTCTAATAGTGGTAGGTCTTTAGGACATAAGGCTGGGTTGTGCCTTGTTCTGTTTGGATGGGTGTGAGAATACAGAGGATCTTCCTACTCCATCCTGATCTTGTTTCATGCTAGATTTTGAGGCTCTGCTTTTCCCCTTCTCACACACCAGCAGGGCACCTGAACTAACTGTGGTAGGGACAGTCTCTTGCTGATGCTGACCATGCTTTGCAAAGCACTTTTAGATTCATGGTTTTAAAAAATCCATATAGAATGAAAGGATCACGGCTGCTGTGAGGTATAAGCTGCAGAAAGGGATGAGCAAATGCTTCTGTGTAGAACAGTAGTGTGGCTGCAGCCTTGCTGCCTGCCTGGGAGAGGTAACGTTAGTAGAGGTGGGTAGGGTATACATTGTCACTGCTTTCCTCTGTAAACACCACTTGCCCTCATATGTTGCATTCACTAGAAAACATTGGGAATTACTGAACTACTTCCCTGACAGTAAGCCACTAAACTCTATTCACATACGCTGCTGGATTATTCAGAGCTCCTGATTTGTAGCCGAATTGCTAGGATGGCACAAGTTAAAATTCCTCCTGGGGCTGCAGGGGAGGGGTGCTAGAGCAGGTTGTCACGCTTACACTGTTTGCATTCCTGTTTTCCAGGGTAAAGGATTTAATTTATATGCGAAGGCAGAAGACTGGTAAGAGACTTGGCCACTCCTGGAGGCTAACTCTTCCTTAGTTGAACTCGTCTCACCCTTGGCTCTTCACCAGGGAGGAGGCACTCACAGGACAGTAGGTTGTGTGACCAAGTCATGTGGAATTCACATGAGCTGAAAGCTATATGTGAAAAATTAACAATACGTGTAGGTAATCCATACTGAAACGTGAATAATGAAAAAGCATAAGATAGAAGAAATAATATTACAAGCCAATTATGCTAGTCAGTGCTATGCTCAGGACTGTCTTTAACACTGTGTAAAAGTGTAGCAGATCACCTGATGCTGTTGATCATGAAGTAGGTAAACTTTGCTGTCTACTTCAAGACAAATGTGAGAAATTTTTACTATAGCTCTCAGTGCAGGCTAAAGCACGAGAGAATCCAGACAGCAAATATTTCAGAAATTATCCGCGGGAATGTCTTTCCTTAGGTTTTATTTTGATAACTGCTTAGAAATTTATTGATCCCTTTTTCTGTCATTCTTTCATGCAGCACTGTATTGTTTGGGAGTGTAGGAAGGGCTCTTCCTGTAAATGTAGTACTTTGTGGAACTGGTTTATTTCCTTGTATTGGAAACTCTGAGCTTGTCTACCAACAATAAAACACAATATTCTTTTCTCCTGATCTCTGCTGTAGCCCAGATCACCTTGATGTGCGTTTAGGGTTTGACCTCTGTGTGCAGGAGCAAGACTTTCTACGCAAAAGGCAGAATTATGTTGCTCCTGCTCTGAAGAAGGTCCTGCAGCTGGAACAGGATCTGCAGGACCATGAGGTCTGTAAGGCAAACATTCAAAACATCTCATAAGTGCTTAAGAGTGGGGTAATAACAGCGTAATACGTCCTCTTTTTCTTCCCAGTTAATTTTTTTCTGGTCTTTCCTCATCTTTAAAATTATGTACACTTCCAATACTGCCCCATACCTCTAATCTCATCCTGTTGTTTGTGTCCTTTGCAGTTGCTCTCCTGAGTTTAACTCTTCTCCTGCTACACTGTAATTGCCAACCAGGCTAGATATTCGTTATATATAGAAATGGCTTCTTCCACCCTATGATTGTTATCCTTGTTGATAATCCTTCCTCCTTTCTTTGACCTGTGAGATTTCTTTTTAATTCATACCTTTACAACTGATTTTTTTTTTCTCTTCCTATCTCTTTTAGCTTGAATTAATGTGTTTTCATTTGTTTTTTACCAGACATCTGCGTTGAACACATTGGAGACAAGTGACAGTTATCTTAAGCAAAAATTGTCATTATTTTTATTCCTCTTCTCCTTTATAAAATCAATGGTAGCTTCTGTTTCAGCAGAAATAATTTGGCAAGAAGCCTGTGTCTGGGCACACGTGGTGGTGCCAGTAAGAGGTCTCTGCTGAGAGCCGCTGCCTGACGCCAGCCCTTTCTGTTCGTGTGTTGCACAGACCCCAGTGGTGGCCATCATGACTACGGGAGGAGGGATGCGGTCTTTGACTGCCTTGTACGGCAGTCTGCGGGGGATCAAGAAGCTCAATGTCTTGGACTGTGCCACGTACCTGACTGGCTTGTCTGGTACTACATGGTAAGTAGGACTTGGGCAGTTCTTGGCTGGAGTCTTCCTAACGACACCCATGCGCTGAAGTAGTCTGGGGCTGACATGCAGTAGTCTACCTCTAATACCTTCTCAGAAGTCCTACTTTTTTGATCTTCTTCCAAAATTGGCACATTAAAGACTTCTCACAGGGAAAGTAATATAATTTGCAATAACATGAAAACAAGTGTTTTTCTAAGAACAGCTTATGGAAAATTGCTCAAGCCGTTTGACAGGGATAATGACTGTGACTTCAAAGGGAACACAACAGTTTCTTAGGGAACTGAAGACAGGAAACCTTTACTTAATTTCAAATCAATAATGTAAAATAGAAACGTAAAATGTAGCCGTTGCCTACTTCAAACCTTGGTGTGTTTTTTTCCCTCTTCAATATATTTTTCTTCTTCCTAGGACCATGTCGAACTTGTACAGAGATGCTGACTGGTCACAAAAGGATCTCGACAAGCAAATCAGTGAAGCTCGAAAACATATGACAAAATGCAAAATAAATTCCCTTTCCTTGGAGTATTTAAAGTATTACAAAAAGCAGCTGTGTCAACGGAAAAAAGAGGGCCGCAAAACATCTTTTATAGATCTCTGGGGGCTTGTCCTGGAATCTTTTTTGCATGATGGGGTACAGTATGTCATAAAGCAGCATTTACAGTGGCTTACAATATTCTGAAAATTAATTTCTGGAGAAGATATTTTCCTTTTTGTTCTGAGAGAAGTAGTTTGCTATGAGACTGTATGTATGCAAATGCACAGCCATTTCCAAAACATTTGGTGGCAGTCTTTTAGATATCCAACCATGGTGGAAATCAGCATTCTTGCCTGTGAGATTTTGGGTATGGTCTTCTGGGAAAACTCCAAGATTAACATTTTGAAAACATATTATATTTTAAGATTTTTTTGCATATTTTGCAAGTATTTTATTTATAAATAGCAAAATTACAGACATTATCTTAATGCCCGTGGGAGATATTAACAAACGGACCTGCAGAATTTTGAAATACGTGAGAGATTTTACATAAACTTGCAGCATAACACGTTAAGCTGGTTTATACCAAAAATATTGTTTTCTGCTCTTTATAATTTCCTTCCATTTTTCATCCTAATGGGTCATCAAATAATCTGGCACCAAAATGGATGCCTGCAGATATTTCAGTAACAGATTACCTGCAGGAATTTTGAAAAATATGGAACATTTCTGAATTTAAGCCCAGCACACATTATACATTAGAGGGAGAAATTTTTCTGCCCTACAAGCTTAGATGCAGAGAAAACGTTCCTGTGCTAATTTTCATCTCAGTGTAACCATATTTCTGGAATCACAGAAAGACAACCATAGACTCTCTGATCAGCAACGGGCCATTGATCGTGGTCAGAACCCATTGCCTATCTATACTGCAGTCAATGTCAAGAACAACTATAGCACTCTGGATTTCAAAGGTAATTATGAGACTTCTGAGAGCCATTTGTCTTTATATCTAAGCTGGTAAATCCTGGGACAGTCTTTTTAGATAACCTAAAAAAAACCCCTCTCATTTAAAGACTAGAACCTCAGCTGACGTGTATGTGTATAACATCCTTGTGGTCAGAGAAAAGTTTGACTGTCAGTGCAACAGACTCAAAAATATTCCAAAGAATTTTCACATTCACACGTTTTCATTTGTATCATGTGTACAACTCATTGCTATTAGTCTGAAACATTAGACAACTGCAGAAATTATTTTAATTTTTAACTACTTTCATTCCCATGATAACAACATCAATTTTATCTACAGTTAAGGGGCTGTAGTAAAACTTTGTTCTCTTCTTTGTGTTCCTTTTCACAGAGTGGGTGGAGTTCACCCCTTATGAGGTGGGATTGCAGAAATATGGAGCTTTTGTTCGCACTGAGGATTTTGGCAGTGAGTTTTTCATGGGTCGGTTGATGAAAAAGGTCCCTGAATCCCGGATCTGCTTCTTAGAAGGTAAGTTCTTAAAAACATCCGAAAGATTTTTTTTTTTTTTTTTTTTTAATTGTGGGCTGTATAAACTAAGCACTAATAAAGCACTGGTGCATGACTGACAGGCCAGTTTCACCTGAGTGAATAAATATCTCATTGCTGAATTAATTCTTACTATAATCGATTCCATTTACTGTAAAAAAGTCAAAGAGACTTTGACTTTTGATGAAAATAGTTATTTTCATTTTTGAAGCTAGTTTTGAATAAAAACATAGTATCGCTTCCAGTCCAACAAAAAAATTCAGGTCTCTCTGAAACCACCATTCTTCTCATGCTGCTCCAGAAGGGTGAACTCCAGAGCCTCTTGCCTGTCTCACGGGAAGTCAGTAATTTGTGTGCTTCCTATGGACAGTTTACATGAACCTTCATGCTGATTCTCTACTGCAGCGGGGTGTGTTTGAGTGTGCTAAGTGGCTCCTGCTCCGCAGAGTCTGCTTTGGCCACACATCACTGGCTCCAGCTTCCACATCGCCTTGGCAAGCCCGGGCAGAAAACAGCATAGTCATGCCCAGAAGCATTTTTGTTATTGACTGAAGTGGAGCATGGATGCATGTTTTCCAGACAAAGAGACCAGCTGTCAGACTGTGTCTGGTTCGAGGTGCAAACTTCTCTTTGACTGGCCACGTCACTTAGAGTGAGGGAGACACTGTCCTATTTTAGCCTAAGCCAATGCTGGATGTGCATACATTTGCACTTCCTGAACCAAAAAAGAGTGAGAACTTGTGCCCTATGGGATAACCAAAGAATTCTTTCTCAAGGTCAAGAATACATGGTCAAAACTGTGTTAACAGGCTTATTCTCAAAAAAGGAAGTCTACAAATGCAGAGGCTGTAAGAAGACATTGTAGCTAGACCCTTAACGATACAATTCCCCATTAAATCTCTCAGATTGCAAACTTTCATCCTTTCCTTTTATACAAGTCTTGTGATACTTGTTTGGTTTGGTTGTTTTGTTTTGTTTGTTTTTTTTTTTTTTTTCTGAAAACCCAAGCTCCCTAAATTATATTAATTCACAAAAATCTCACCAGTTGTTAAAATATATAGCCTTAAAATATATAGCCAGCCCTAAGTACCAGAAGACAAAAACTGGATACCAAAATAATGTTGAAAAACCATCAGCCAAATAAAAATGACACATCATCCATTTAAAACAAACTAAGGAAATGCATAAACGTCACAAATTTCATCCCATGATAACAGTTTAATGATTCATGATGTGTGAATGTTTGAGTTAGAAAGCTTTTTCCTTTTACAGGCATATGGAGTAGTTTATTTTCATTGAATGTGTTATATATCTGGAATTTGTCCCATTCCTCAGAAGATTTCTGGCACAGGTGGACCCGGGACAAAATCAATGATATAGGTAAATTATCATACTTCCTTACCGTGTATTTATGTTAGATAGAGTTAATGTTAAATAAACCATCACACCCATCTGCTATGCGAAATGTGCACAGTATATTTCACATTTTTTGGAGTGTTTCTTCAAAGGCCGCATTGCCTTTCTGGAAAAAATTGATTTCAAAGTCTCATACTGCAAAGCATAATTGGGTAATTTTAAAATCTCTGGTCCTGTGATCTGTGTGCTCACTGAGGGCTCAACACTGATGTTGGCAGATGATTAGAATGTTCAGGAGTAAGACTGATCTGTAAATGATTAATAAAGCAAAAAGATTTTGATTACATTATGTAGGAGCTACTGTAATACATATAAGTACCACGGTTATCCTTTTCCAAAGCCTTCATTCAGCGTGTAGCATTTTATTTTCTTTTTGATTTGGTCACTTGTGCTCATCGAGTCTTTTCATGCTAGGCCTTTTAAATAAAGAAAGCACTGATTATTGTTACTTACTCTGACATCCTGGGGGATTGCCTTGCTCTGGGCAGGTAGAGTTTAACAGCCTTTCCCTGTGCAGAGGAGGAACCCCTCCTGCCGCTGAAGCTGCACGAGCTGAGGACGCGCCTGTTCACCCCCCCCGGCCCCCTCGGCAGCGCTCTGCGCAGCGTTCTCACCGACCGCCCCTGCCTTGCCCAGGAGCACAACTTCCTAAAGGGCTTCCAGGTGCATAACGACTACCTGGAGAACAAGCACTTCTGCCGATGGAAAGGTAACAGAAGACCTGTGTGCCTGGGGAGAGAATAAACAAGCAGAACAAAACGAAAACCCAGATGTGATATTAAACCCTTTCTCAAAGGTTAGAGGCCGTGTTTGGGCAGAATTGCTATTAGATCAGTCAGTTGTGGCACACTGGGATGTAGCATGGCGTGTTGTTGAGCTCCATGCCAGTGCTTTGCTGGCGGCACACACCTCCCGAGGCAAGGGCACCAGGTCCTGATGGTGGTTTTCCCCTTCTCTGTTTGAAGACACAATCAGTGGGGAGGCACAAGAAACCCACTTCATGAATGTCACCACTGCAGGTCCAAAACTGCATGTGGCTGGAGTTGGGAGGGCAGAAAAAAAGGGATATGGTGAACCTCTCTTCCCCAAAGATGGTAACCAGTTGGGGCTCTGTGGTCATTGTGTAACCGGTTTTGCACTATTGCACTTACAGTAAGAAAAATCTTTCCTTTTAGATACTGTGTTAGACACATTTCCTAACCAGCTGACACCATCAGAGGAATTCCTGTCTCTGATAGATACAGGATTTTTCATCAATACAAGCATCATGCCACTTTTAAAACCGGAGAGAAAGGTAGATGTCATCCTGCATTTAAATTACAGTGCAGGATCCCAGATACAGGTGAGAGGAATAAAAACAGCCTCTATTTCTTCTTCAACAGCTGTATACCTTGAAGTTTTTAACACTCAGACCCTTTCTATATTGCTCCTACTAAAATTCTTAACCATTAGCATTTTCAGCTTAATGCTGCAGTGTGGTGCTTCATTTATAGGATGTATATATTCCCATTTGATTTTCTTGTATGATACAACTGTTTTGTGCTAATGTCTTGGGGAAGACAAAAACCTTCTCTCAAATGATGCAGTGCTTTCCAAGGGTTTCAGAGCTTTCACACAGCTAGCTTGGAAAATGCTGCATTACTGGACTCCAAGAAATCCTGAACCCTGAAATCCTCTTTAAGACTTAGTACTGTTCTGTTAATTGATCCAGGCTCTGGACCAGACCTGCAAGTACTGCTCGGAGCAGGGAATCCTTTTTCCCAGGGTGAACTTGAGTGAAGAAGACAGGAAAAACCCAAAGGAGTGTTACCTCTTTGATGGCGCTGAGACCCCAGGAGCACCAGTACTGTTATTTTTCCCGCTAATTAATGATACTTTCCAAAAATACAAAGCACCAGGTAAGTAATCAAACATACTAAGAAAAGGTTGACATCATGACCAGACTATTAAAGGGAGTATATTTAATACTCCAACCCTTGAATTTAGTTGTTGGCTCACTTCAATACATCAAACCTCCCTGTTGCTTAAAGTTACTTTTTTTACCATGTCAGATTTGATGCTCTGGCTGTGCTGTTTTAATCCCTGAGCTAGTTAGTTTGCAGGTAGCTTTGATGTATCTATGTGAGCCACAGATACAGCTCAGAACTGCAGTGTAGACCCACGTAAGAGGAATAATCACCATTTTTCTCCCCTCATCATGTGAAGTGGCTGATATCCACCTGAGCCAGGGATTGAGCTGTCAGATTGAAAAATAATTATTTGTTTAAAAAAAATAAAATTTAAACTCACAAGAGTAATTTAGATTATGAATTCTCTCTCTGGAGAGATACCTTCTTTCCCTGCTCTGTTAAGAGTTTGCTTGGTTATGACCGGAGTAATTCCCATCTCTCAGCAGTGATTTATCACCCCTTCCTCCTAGGCCAGAAACGCTCAGAGTCAGAGATGGAAGATGGAAAAGTTGATCTCTATGGCTGCTGTTCCCCTTATTCAACATACTCAATTCAATACACTGAGAAGGTGTATGACCGTCTGGTTCAGCTGGGTGAATACAACATCCTAAATAACAAAGACCTCATTATTCAGGCCTTGCACACAGCTGTGACAAGGAAAAGGCAGAAAAAGAAATAATGTGAGATGAGGGAGGATGCTTTTGTGTCCCTTAACCTGCCAAGAGTCTGAAGCTCCTTTACAATCAGCCAGCAGGCTTCAAAGGATTCCTGTTCAACCCCACTAAATGGCAATCTCAGATGGACAAAGAAGAGACCAAACACAAACTTTTTTCTCCAAATAATTTCACTGCGTCAATTCATTGTAGTTCAGCTACAACAGTGGAGTACAAGTCATTGTGTCGTACAGAGGATGAGCAGCCATGAAGAAGAAGGTGCTAAGATGACAATGACCATGGTGCTAATTGCTTTTAGAAAGAGTTTTAAATATTTAAATCTAACATGTTCAGCACAGACCACATTAAAAGCACATTTTATTAACTCAGCTTGTGTTTTGTATTTGCAAGGTGGTGGTGAGGCAAGCAGCAGCCCGTGGGAGAGGTTTGTGACTGGGACTATGGCACATTGTAGGCAACTGTTTAGAGAAAGAAAGGGACATGTCATATGGCATCCTGTGGGCACCGATCACCTTCAAGGGAAGCTTTGGACAGAGGCAGAGGAGACACAGGCCAAGGATACCAGATCAGCTGAAAAAGCAGAAGAGCGTTGATGAAGTTCTCATCTGCTTGACCACCAAGCTCCTCTGTATACTTCCTCACTGCTTCTTGGCTCCCTGTTCCTCTTCCCATTCCTAATGTGAGTAGTAGTAGTGTAGTAACTAGAAATACAAGCTGAACAGAGCAACACTCTGCTGGCTTTAAATCCCCTACAAACAAGAGAAAAGACGTGCAGGCCCTTGAATTCATTAGCTCTGCATGCCCTTGTTGTTGGCTGGGTCTTGCATGAGGTTGGCACCTGCAGAATTAGGAGACACCCACATGGGGGAGAAAGGGCTTTATGTGGTCTTGGTGCAAGAAGGAAGATTTTGTGTTTTGTAGTAGGGCATCTAAAGAGGATGTCCTGATCCAGGAATGTTATTTTTCCATCTTGAGATAGCAAAAATTTATTTAAACTACAGCATTTACATGAGCTTTGTGACAGCTGTGAAGAAGACGAGATAGGTGCTGACCTGTAGAGATCCCTGGAAGCTTTGGGAAGGTTTGCTATAGCAAGTACATCCTTCTGCACAGCAAGCTGCTGCAGGAGGATCTGTGCCTCCTGAGCTGTAATTTCTCTTGGACTGGCTCTGCACTACATCCAGCACAGACATGCACATACATGACATAATTTGCCCATTTGGGCAGGCATGTATGTGCATGGCATCTGAGAGGTTGTCTAACCTAGGCTTCTGTCACTGTTCCCAGGAGGGAGGAGACAGAGGAGCACTTTGCTTGCACCCATAGCAAAGATCCTCCAGCTCCTCTTGCATGGGTCTCGCTACCTCACTTGTTCTCTAGGGTTAAAATGCTTTACTTGTTCAATGGAAAAAAAAATAAACAGTGGAGAAATAGACTCATGACACTAAAAAACATGCAAACCTAGATCACATAGTTATAGAAATACAAGTACACAAGAGAATTTCTTTCCAAACACAAATAAGCTTATTTTGATTAAATTCATTGCAGGTAACCCATGCTCTAGGTTGAATTAATAACAAAAAATACAGTAATACTTTACAAACCAAATGAGTTATTTTATGTTTCTCCCAGAATGTTCACTTCTCAGTTACTAACAGACAGTAGAAATTTCCTAGTTCTTCATAGGTATCTATTTTATTAACCAAAGTAATTTTGAAAGCAATAATAAAAATAGGATCATCCTATTTTTACAGCACATGACAAATACCTCAAAATAAGTAAGGCCTACTCAACATATGCATGCATTTTTTTTTTTTTATGCTGTAATACTTTTAGAAGGTTAGGTTGGGAGATGAAGCTTAGGTTGTGTTGAGTTCCTCAGTGTACACAATGTTACAGCACCCACAATTTATAGTCTACTAAACCCACCTGTATTTACATTTAAAATTTAAAATTCTTTGGAATGCTGAAGGAATGGAACGGAACAGAACAGGAACAGAACAGGAATAGAATAGAATAGAATAGAATAGAATAGAATAGAATAGAATAGAATAGAATAGAATAGAATAGAATAGAATAGAATAGAATAGAATAGAATAGAATAGAATAGAATAGAATAGAATAGAATAGAATAGAATAGAATAGAATAGAATAGAATAGAATAGAATAGAATAGAATAGAATAGAAGAGAAGAGAAGAGAATAGAATAGACTAGACTATTTCAGTTGTAGGGGACCTACAAGGATCATCCAGTCCAACTGCCTGACCACTTTGGGCCTGGCCAAGTCAAAGCACGTTTTTAAGGGCATTGTCCAAATGCCTCTTAAACACTGACAGGCTTGGGCCATCGGCCTCCTCTCTAGGAAGCCTGTGCCAGTGTCTGACCACCCTCTCGGTAAGGAAATGCTTCCTGACGTCCAGTCTGAACCTCCCCTGGTGCAGCTCTGAGCCATTCCCACGCGTGCTGGCACTGGGTCCCAGGGAGAAGAGCTCGGCACCCCCCTCTCCACGTCCCCTCCTCAGGCAGCTGCAGAGAGCCATGAGGTCTCCCCTCGGCCTCCTTTTCTCCAAGCTAGAGGAGCCCAAAGGGCTCATCTGCTCCTCACGGGACGTGCCTTCCAGCCCCCTCGCCCGCTTTGTTTCCCTCCTCTGGACACGCTCAAGGCCCGTCACACCCTCCTTAACTCGTGGGGCCCAGCCCTGCAGACAGGGCTCCAGGCGAGGCCGCCCCACCGCCGAGCACCGCGGGATGGTCACCGCTGGTGTCGGGCTGGCCGTGCTGGGTTTGCCCAGCCCAGGATGGGGTTTGCCCTCTGGGGCACGCGGCTGCCCCACGCTCAGCCTGCGGCCCACCAGCACCCCCAGGGCCCGGCCTGCAGCGCGGCTCACCAGACACTCCTCTCCCAGTTCATACTTTTGCCTGGTGTACAGGACTCCGTACTGCATTTACACGGTGAGGTTTTGGTAACAGGGTGGGGTGCTCTGGGGTGGCTTCCAACCATATTTCAAGGCTCACGTGCAGGATTTTATCTCTGCTTTACAAATGAGTAGATAAAGGTATCCACAGCGTGCTTGGCTGAGTCATGCCACTCCAAGATTTAAAAAGCATCATCAGAGGGAGCAGGACACAGTGTTTCTGTAATGATACGCCAGCCAAGAACAAGAGTGCTCTGTGCAGCTCCCTATTTTAAAATTCTGGGGACAAGGGGTGTCAGTGGCTGGAAGAGTTGTCTGTGAAATGCCTGCCTTGTTCCTGTGAGGGAGCTCTCTGCATATAGTCACGCTTTTATTTCTGTACTGCTGAAAAGTTGTAGCTTTAACAATGTGATTTGTCCAGGGTAGATTCACAGAAGATACTTTTTGTGGATTATGGACAGCTTCTGACTCAGCTCTTCTACACTTTGTAATTATCCTTCCAGAATGAAACTTGGAGAGTTGGTCTTCTTGTAGTCGGCCTGGACTGATTTTTTCATTACAAGTTCACTTTCTTTGCACAGTATGAACATCTTAAGGGATGGTTCTTAGAGGTACAAACAGGTCAGATGTAATTTCCTTACAGAGTATCACTAGTGCTTCCAGCTTCAGCTGTTCACACGTCAGTGGGGAGCTGGGTATGTCCCATGTGGTTTTGTGCTTGCCTTTTCCTGTAGGATGCCCCCAGAATGGATAGGCTCTTTTAAATGACTGCGGTCATTTGCAAAATGTCTCATTTTAATAATTTTCTGGGGCATGGTTTTGCTCAGTCAGGCCTAACTCAAGATTCAACAAGCTTGAAGGAGGCTTTTTACATCTTTCACATGTGAAACCAAAACAGGACATTCAGCAAGGAGAAGAAGTAGGCTGCTGTAAATAAGACTGTAAGGTCTTAGGAGAGGTGAGGAAAGCCTGTGAAATTCTTGGAGGCTAAAGCTAAGCCTGGAGGGATATTTAGGTTGTTTGCATCCTTTGCCTTTGCAATCCATGTTTGCAAGTACATAATGATAAACCTTTAACAAAATGTTTAGGAGCAGTTTTCTGGGGCATGGTTTTCCCAGAGTTGCTTGCTAAATGGTCCTACCAGCTTGCACTTTTTTAATGAGTCCATTTTATAACACTCTACGGAGCTCTTTAATTGCTTAGCTCTGGTTAGCTCCTATTAGGCGGTGGAAGAACAAAGTAAAACAGGGAATACAGTTTTGTATTTGTACTAGATTGTTCATCTTATTTCTTCCCATAGGCTTATAAAAGCCAGAAGTACCATCAGATCATGTTAAATGTCAGACTTGTTAAATGTCAGACTTTTTAAATGTCAGACCTATTACCTGCCATGCAGTTACTTAAATGTTAGTCCTGATCACCTGTGGCTGACCAAAGTATTTCTTGAAGAAAAATGAGCCCTCTTCTTTTAAAGGTATCAGGAATGGTGAAATTACCACATTTCATGGAAGTATGTTTTATTGGGTGATCATCTTCCAGCAATACATATGCATCAGTTTTCTAGCCTCATTTAGGCTGGCCAGAGACCAGACATTAGTTCATGTCAATCTTTTCCTAGTAACTTAAAAACAATTGCATAACTACTCTTTCTTCACTAGGGTTGATTTTATAAAATATACCAAGGTTACATCACAGTCTTTTTTGTCAAATCAGTAGATTCAGCCCTCCAAGCTCTCATTATAAAAAAAAAACCCTTTATTTGTTGTACCCAGCTATATCTCTGTTCTTGCACTCCCTCCAATTCTTCATTGTCCCTTTATCAAATGAAGACTCCAGTACACTTCCCACTATTGCTATACACTGAGATGAACTTTGCCTTTCTATTCTTCTATTCTTACATATAAATGACTTTCTGGTTTCTAGATACAGAATCCAGTTGTCCTCATTTGCCATTCGAGAATTCTGCTGAGTTGTTTGTTTTTCATATGCTGGTAAGCTAGTGTTTTCCATACTACAGTCTTCCCTTTCGTAAGGGGGAGTATATTGTAACATACAGTTGTCCTTCCTTTAATCATAACTTCCCACTTCAGTGTGTTAGACTTAACTGTGGTTAATCAGGCCAGTTTATCAAGCAGGTCAGATCATTCTGTATGATTGCCTTGTTCTCAGTATTACTCAGCACTCCATCAATCTTTGTTCTACTGCAGTCAGGATGTCATGTTTATTTCCAAATCACTCATCAAAATGTTGAATAGAGTTTGAGTCTGGTAAACTCTTAAAAATTCCTCAGAAGAAAACTATTTTTCAGTGATGTTTCTCACTAAGGACTAATTCTGAAATCAGTTAGCTGACAAATTCTTAACCTTAACAATATATACTTTTTTTTCAATCTTTTCATAACAAAATTTTACTATCTTTGCACAATAGACTATAAGTAAAAAACCCTGGTAAC